ATACTACGTTTGAACTGTGAATATCAGATTGTTTACGTGATTTGTATATGTTTGTTTGCTATGTTGCTTTGCTTATTTGTGCATTTCCTTTGTATATTATTTTGTGAAGCGAGACAAAATTCTTTATCACTTCTTTGTATTATTTTATGTGCGTAATATGGACGTAATTTAATGTATTGCAAAATCAAATACGGTATGCTGTGATGGAAGATGATCAACCAAAAAAATCAACCTGGATTACTTTTATGTGGTTGATTAATTCAATAATAAAATGGTACAAAAGTATTAAACTTTAAATTATTTTTTTATTGTTGAAACACCTAATTTTGAAATAATAAATATGAAGTAAAAAGATGATGAAATATCTATTACTTATTACTTTTCATATAGTACTTTTGTGATGCTTTTATTCGAATAAAATAGTTTTAATTCGTATTTTTAATGACTAACATTATTGTAATAATTTTCTAGTAAAATTTTAATATCTGATATTTGTATCTCCTCTGAAAGATGATGAAATACTTGTTGGATTTTACATGAATTGTTTTTTTTTTATGATTGCTTCACTATGTGACGGTTTGGTCAAGTAGAAATTATTGTTTTAAAACTGTATAACATCGTTAGTCGGTTTTGTGTTTAGACATTCTACGGAACAAGTTTTAAGTGCGTCTCAAGACGCAAGCAACCGGAGGAACGCAGAAAGGAAAACAAACCCCACCTTGTAGAACCGTTTTGTCGGCGAAGGTGACCGAATTTGTCCCGTTTCCTTGTCAAATTGCCCATCGATATCAATGTACAGTTTTTATGACAAGAATTTTCATTTGTTGTACCCTTTTGTATGTAAATTCTTTTTTTTTGTTTGGAATTAGGGACGGAAATTTGAAGATCTTTTCTTCTCTGTTTACTTTTTATCCCTAAAAAAACTTGTCGGACAATTTTCTACATTCCTATATTGAATCGAATGGTTTTCAAACTACTAATATTATCTACGCTTAAAGGAAACCAAGTGGCCACCCTTGTTTGTTTTTTAAAGTAAATACTTGCAATCCTTCTAATTTTTTTTTTTTGTGGTTTACTAAATATTTTTCAAGAAAAATGTTATAGCTATTTAAAAAACTAAACTGATTAAAACAATTTTACCAAAAATGTTGCAATGGAAACAGTGAAATAAAATTCAATTCAGTAAGTAGTATTTCCTCCTCGCGTTGATCACCGCTTGCATTCGACGTGACATCAATTTTATGAGATTTTGAATGGAGTGCTGTGGAAGTTTATCATACTCCTCCAACAGCGCCATTCTTAATTCCTGGAAATTCTCTGGCATCACTGGGCGACTTTTTACCCCTTTGACAATTCGTCCCTATAATGCCACATTTACACATTCGCACGAGTGGCGAGACGAACCTCGAGGCGAGTGACGAGGCGAATGTGTAGATGGTCCCCTCGTCATTCGTCTCGTGCTTCGCCTCGCCACTCGCAACGCGCGTTCTTTGGGGACGAGTCATAGGCTCGTACAGACGAGGCGAACTCAGTGTTTACACAAATTCAGTGATAGATATAATTCAACTTGAAATCTTGGAATGAAGACTTCTGTAGCTATCACCAGTAGGTAAAATCAACCAGGCGGACTTTAGCTGGTATCGGCAGTCTCCATTTAGTTTTTCTTTAATTGATTCTGCAAGGTTTGCAAATTCTCCACAGTCCTCATAGAGCATTTCTATAAACATGTTTTCCATACTTGGTTCTGTTGACATGCTACGATCCACCATCGTCTTCGGCGACGTCTTTCGCTTTGGTGAACTGAACAATCGGCAAGTGTGTGAACGGCCACTCGTGCTGTGGGGAAGGAACGTGCGAATACCTCTCGCGAAGGTAACGAGAGACGAGGCGAGCTACGAGCGCGAATGTGTAAATGCGGCATTAGATAGGTTTCAGTAGGGGCAACATGGTCTCTGGTCACTACAAGCATTGAACTGAAGCTCGTTCCAAGTGGTCACCACAAGCTGTGTGAAGCCTCGCATTGTCATGCATAAAAATAAAACCGTCACCAATTAGTGGCATATAAGGAACAACTTCTTTTGATAACACAACTTCAATGTATCACCTCGATGAAGATCAAATTTGTGCGACCTTCCATAGAAACGCCTGCCCAAAGCATAACACAACCACTTCCAATCCGTGAAAATGATTCGGGGATATATCCCTCTCCTGTTCTTCTCCAAGCCTCTCTCGTCTATCAGAAGACCTCAAACAAACCCTCATCTGAAAACAAGATTTCTAATCTTGCTCAGACTGATGTGCTTTCTTTCGAAAACCAAGCTGTTCTGTGCCTTGTCAGAAGTTCTGGTCGAATGGCAGCCCTTCTCGCACGTAATCCAGCTTCTTAAAGTCTTTGCCTTACAGTGCGTAAACTGACATTGAAGAATGTCGATTATCGATTATATGCACTCTCAACACGACACGCAAGGATGGCACAATTACACAGAAGACAAACACTTTGAGTGAGTAGAAATACTTTGTTTGAATATAAAATATATTTTGCATTGTAGAAATTCACTTATCCACATCCAATGTATTTGTTAAATGTAAACATTGTTTGTAAATCCCAGGCCCTGGAGATGATCTCAATAAAAGATCGAAACGTTGGCACGATAAAGAAAATGTTTTTCTGAAACCTCCATCACACCCGACCGCATCTCACGATTTCTGAATTACTATCGATTAACGGTCACTAATCTCTACACATTATTACACTATATTGTTTTGTAGTGCATGTCGTTTCGGTCTAAACAGAGGTTGTGTATTATTGGGCAATCAGGGTGGATTTATGGTTTATGTTAGATTTTGAAGTATGTATAAATAGCGAATAATTTAAAAAAATTTATTCTTTTATGTCGATACATATCATCGTTTGAAAATATGAAGTAATTATAAGTAATGGATAGACTGGTGTCATTTGTACAATCAATAAACCGTAATACCGTAGTTATCTCGTAAACTTCCCTTTTTATCTAATGAGGAAAGTTTACTCTTTGCATTATATTTTTAACATAATTAGTTTTTTTATTTTTTTTTATAAATATTATAAAGGCATACAACCACGATGAGTCAAAACTGCCTTGACGATGAATTAATCGTAGGGAGAAGAGGACAGAGAGCGATAGGCCAGGAGGGCAGGGACATCAAGAGCGGGCGCACCCCCACAGCGAACCGGACACCACAAGACCAGGCAAGAACCAGACACCCAGACCAGCTCCTCTCCACACAAGACCTTAGTGGTCAAGAGACAGTGGCAGACTTCTTAGAGGGCTGCGCATGGTGTGCCAGCATCCGCAGCCCTCCCAAGTTCTGGGGTTCAAACTCAACCCAGAGGCCAGCCCACGCTAAAACTATCATCTATCTGAGATATGACACGATGGCGACCTGATCCATGAATTGAGTAACCACTAATATCTTCGTTGCGACGGTAGACACTTCGGGCTGTTGTTCTTGGAATGTTAACCCCCTGACTACATACGTTTCGAACGTTTCTAGCCGAATCTGTATGACTTAAAACCCTCATTCAAACAAATTTGAAACTTAAAAAAGGGTACGGAACGTTAGAAAGAAGTTTTACAGAAAAGTCAACAAAGAAGAGATTGACTATTCAAAAATTTATTTACAAAATCTAACAGCAAACGCAATATTTTATCTGTGTTTTATTTACCTCTGATCCTTTAAAACAGACTAAATACTGTTGTAAGATAATCAATAGAGGATTGTCTAATAAATAATTAAAAATATTAAAGGCTGCCACTTTTTTTTCCACTCAGTGTATTCATCGCCCATCGCTCAGTCCGCCTCTTCTCGCCTCCCTCTGTGTCTTCATCTTTTATATCTTCATCATTCATTCATCTTAATGGAATGGTTACAAAATGGTGGAAAATCCTTTAGCCAATCCAAGATTAATTAAAGTTAAATTGTATCTTTTAATATAATTAAAAACACAATCGTTTTAATTATATTTAAAACATCCGACACATTCATCTCTGGATAAATATCTGAACATCGAGACGATTAAGAACCTTCAAATTACTTAAATGAATTAATTTCATTTACGTATAAAACATCTCTTGCTGTTATTGAAATAAGGTCAATTGAGGAAAATGAAGGCTGCCCAGTCTGGCGAATTATAACATTTTAGACAGGACTTTTTCCAAAAAAGCAACTCATTTGCATCATCACACTTGACAATGATTTCATGAGCATTGATTATGATTCCTTGCTTTTAGGGCCTTGATGTATCAATTATATATTTGGGGATAGGGATAGGGTTAAATGAGTCGGCCTCGAGGCCTTTCGCAGCTGAATAGATCCATTGTGCTCCTCAATTTTTTTGGAGTTGAACTGTGGGGTACTGCCAAATCTTCCAATATCCAGCGCATCCAGTCCTTCCAATCGAAAGTCCTTAGACAAATTGTCAAAGCACATTATTATGTCACTAACCTCACTGACCAAAGACCTGAACATGTCACCTTTTGTCAACGAACTGATCCAATCCAGATTCCAAACCTTCCACACCAACCTTTCGCACCATCCGAACCATACTGCTCGAGCCTTCTCCACTCATTCCCATCCTGACAACCCACCACGTCGCCTCATCCGACGATGACCTCGGGACCTCATTGACGCCTAATCATACACACTGAGTGCAAGCAATGGCTGGCTCCTCAAAGCATGTGTTTTACCGGTGCAGTGCTGGCATTAGTGCTATGTGCTGTGTAATATATTAATCATGTGACATATTTGTATAGTATACTTTCATGTATAGGTAACAAATAAATTTAAAAAAATTAATAACGCACATCAGCATATTGTTCCTACTAGATGGTTTCAAATGTCTTATAATTTATTCTCATAACTATATTTTATATACAATATTCTTATAATTATATTTTATGTTTATATTAATATTCTTATAATTTATAGTGTATAAATAAATGTCATTTAAAGATTTCTACAAAATAATATTGTTTTTACACATTAAAAACAATGTAGTTCATTTTTTTATATAATAAAAACAACAATGGTTTTCAAACCTGCCAAAATATATTCGACCAAAGAGATCAACTTGAACTTATGTATAAGTTTTAACATTCATGCCCATCTGTAAACTTAACAACCAAAACGTGATGTATTTTTTAAAAAACAGTTTATTATTTATATATTTTATTTACAAAGAGTGAGAAAATGTACATTTGCTTTTTAAAAAATAAAAATAAATATCTTCTGTAAAAAATAAAAATGAATTGTATTTTTAAACATATTCTTCGTTCAGGAACTCTTCAAGCGTGTGTTCGTAACAGGCGATGACAAACATGATCGCACCCCCGCAAAACATACCTCCCAGAACCAAAACAACGTCTAAAATTGTCTTGCATTGCTTTTGCATTTCTGGTACCTGACGAGGAATAAACATTGTTATTAGTATAGTTTTTTTTGTAAGTAAAGTATTGGAAATCTGCTGCTTACCAGTGTTGCTAAGGATATGTAAAGGAATGTTCCACCGGTGGCAGCATAAATCCAATAAGAAGCGTTCTCAAATTCCCCAAGCCAAAGTCCTGCTAGCACTCCAAGCAGACTGAGCACCGAGGACAGCAAATTGTACACAACCGCCTTGCGGATTGTCATACCCGTTTGGAGCAATATTGCAAAATCTCCTGGAATTCGAAAAATGGTAAAAATTTAAATAATATAATAAAAGCGTCGTGTATAAACAATCATGAAACTATAAACTATAAACAGTTGAAAATCGAACTTTTCTTCCTAAGCATTAAGTATTCTTTTTTATTATTCAGCCTTGCTAATTATTGATCAAAGAATTTACATATCAAGAAAAAATATGATCCTATTCCATAAATAAACAAAAGGAAAAATTCTTAATGTACAAATCTCTTTTATTTTGAAAAATTAGTTTTATATGTCCCTTGTCCCTTGTCAGAACATTGGTTTCACCATTTTTTGGGAATAATTTCACTAGGCTTATCTTTATAATCTTTAAGTTTATCTTTTAATGACTTTGCCCATTAAAGTATTTAATTTTTATAACCAAAGCACTTAAACGTTTTTTAACTAATTGAGCTGATAATTTATAAGTAAGGAGAATATCGTATTATTTGTAGTCTAATTTTCGTATGATTTTCGTCTATTTTTTTACAAATATATGAGAAATTATTAATTTTTTTCACAGACACAATAAACAATTGTTACAAATTTTAGAGAATTAAATTTTCTTTAAAAGTGGTCCCTTAAAACTTTCTATCAATGATACATGTTGAGATAAACAGCATTAAATTATGGAGCAATTATTCATGATTTTATATTAAGGTGATGCCTGAAATAATATTAAAGATTGTTTGTTTAATTAAAAATCGCGTTACAGCCCTATCTTCATATCCACAAAACATAAATTAGTGTAAACTAAAATTAAAAATACAAATGTAAATAATCTTATTTTAATCACACTGACTAATCCTTAAACTTTAAATTGTTCATTGTCACTTAATCCTTAAAAGGTTAATCATAAGAAAACTAAAAAGGTGGATAATAGTTTGGGAGAATTGTTTTTAAGTTAATAGTTTCTGAGATATTAACTAAAGAACAGAAAAAACACGTTTAAGCGTTTTTCACTCTGTACTGTAATTGTACTAATCATTTGTAGTAGTAAATATTTCTATAAAAAATGTTTTTAGTTATTAATCGAATTTATACTAATAGTAAGATTTTTAGACAGACCTGGTGCCTTTGGTAGTAGCTCTCATAACATTTTATATTAAAAATTGGTAAAAGAGTTCATGTTAAAGGAAAAATTTTTCTTCTCTTCAAGTTTAATTTCGTTCTTGTTTTGAAAAACTTAACAATTTCTGAGATATTAACGAAAATGTAGGAAAAACGCGTTTTTAAGGAAGTGTTTATGACCCTTTATCGTAATTAAACATCATTTGTAGCATAAATGTTTCTATAAAAAATGTAGTTTTGGGTTATTAAATATTTTATGACTTTTCTTTTCTATTCACAGATCAGTGGTATTAATGAAAAAATCGGATTACACCATTCAAAAGAACTCAAGGTTTTCTTAAGACGATAAAACTAAAGCATTTTTCATCAATGAAATAATGTATTCTTCTTGTATTAAGGAAATATCTTTTTATATATTTTGTTCTAATTTTGAAAAATTTTAAATGATGTTTGGACACTTTAAAATATATTAAATTGTTCAAAAATGTTTTTAAATCATATTAAAAAGTCAACTTTTGATTGTTTTTATAACATAATTGGTCTTATAAATTTCCATCCACTGAAATCAAGGCCTTTGTTTGCCTGAAAAATCTTATTTCGGTTATCTTATCTGGTTTTCAAAAATGAGAAGATATACGCACTCTTGTGTTGTGAAGGTCCACTTCTTGTCCAAACCATCTGGCTTCGAATACTTCGCCAAGAGAGCGACACAATGCACACGGTATATCTCACGAGTTCATTTTCTCCCGTTTTAGATTGAAAAGAACTAAATAATGCTAATAACCTTATTGTGAATAGCACAATATACGGAAACTGAAAATGTAACGAGTGATAAAACTCTTTCTTGAAATAATCCTATGTTTACGTTTGCTCCTCGCGTGTTAAATTACTTTTCTTAGTAAAATGGACTTTTTTGATTCCGTTTATTTACAGTGATTATTGCAATGTTTCAGCCTATGCTTTATCAGATTGTTTGCACATAACGCCAAAACCAGTATGATATATGCCAACTGAAAATAAAATGGGGCTAAAAACTTTTCCCTCGGGTAATTCGAAGGCCATCTATTGCAGATATGATTTTTTTAGGTTTACATTTTCTTTCACTTTGGACCAGAATCAATTTCTTCTTTCAGTAGTTTTCATCAATCCTCACAGCTTTTGTTAACTTTTTTTCAGAAAAATGAAAGCATCGCGGAATTCTATTTACTATTTATCTATGGTGCTTTTTCTCAACAAATCCAATGATTTGTTAAAATTGTTCGTTTGATAACGAAGTAGTGTTAATTATTAAATTTCCCCTCGTCGTAGAGATTGTTTTTATCGGTTTTTATTGATTTGATCTGTGATCCTACTTTATTGTTATTTAAATTTTAAAATAAGTTAATTGTATATGTATATATATATTTGGGAAACGTACTGTGAACATTTGTACCTGAAAAACTAAAAAAAGGTGAATTTTATTGGTTTTTTAGACTAATATGAGATGCTGAACCGAAAAAAAACATAATGTACTTCTGTGCCCAAAACACCATGTTGTTTAATTTCCTATTAAGGTTTTAAAGCCCTGAAGATGACAGTATAAAACTGTCGAAAGCTTGGCGAAAACCGTAAGGAAGTTTTCTCTGTTTTGACCTCTTCCGAAGATCCTCTGAAAAGACTTCTTATTAAATTTCCGTTTTTCCCAGCATCATACGTGCAAATGATGAAATGACATGAAAATAAAATGGGGCTAAATACGTTTCTGTGGCGTAATCCTACGTACATGTGTTTCCAACTTAGTTTTACACAAGGTTTTTATATTATTTATATTGTGATTATGCTCATTTCCGTCAATATTTACAATTAGTCCAATAGTATACATATATCTTTGGACTACCGCATATTTTCCTTAGATCTTGGCCATGTGTCAAGTGCACGTAAATGGAAAATAAACCCAGGCTAAAAACATTTTTTTCATGTAATTTTAAGTAAATACGTCTGTTTAAATATGAATTTTATTTTAGTTTTACGCAATAGTTACTACATTTTTGACACGAATCAATTCCTTTTTCCAACGAAATTTTCCAAACTTCATATCTTCTCTTTACTTTCATTTAATTCTCTGTACCGTTTATGCATTTGCTATATATCTTTGTACACGATGTAAAATAGTAATGTCAGTAATACATGTAAACTGAAAATAAAGCCTAACTCAAAACACTTCCGTGGGGTAATCCCACTCATACGTTGTTTTCATATCATTACTCGCGGTTTAACCTCACTTTAGGCCAAAATGAATTCTTTCTTCAAGTGGCATTTACCGCTTCTTTCATTTTCCGTTTACTTTTTTTATTTTGTTATTCTTATGTTTCTTCAATATGTTCATGTTTATCACCGGAAAACCAATTAATTTCTTCAGATTGTTGCATGACGGTATTCGTAAATGAAAAATAAAACGAGACTAAAAACATTTCCTTGGGGTATTGCTAATCACATGTGTTTAAATATGAAAGTGTTTTTAGTTTTACACAATTTACTCCCCTTTGAGTAACTCAGTTTCATCTTCTAGTGGCATTTACTAAAACTCCATAACTTCTATTTACTATTTTTATGTAAAACTATTCCGTCGGAGAACAAAATAGTTTGAAAGCCTTCAGTTTTTACCAGTATAATAATTGTAAATTGTAAATAAAACGGGGCTCAAAACACTTCCGTGGATAACTTCCACTCACGTAAATTGTTTACCCGTCATTACCTGAAGTTTTACTTTTGGATACAACCAATTCCGTTTATTTTATTTAGAGACGCATTGCAGAATTCTATACTAACGTTATATATTGTTATTGAGAAATCGTGAGATGCGGTCTGGTGTGATGTAGGTTTCAGAAAAACATTTTCTTTATCGTGCCAACGTTTCGATCTTTATTGAGATCATCTTCAGGNCTCTCAACTCGACACGCAAGAATGGCACAATTACACAGAAGACAAACACTTTGAGCCCTGAAGATGATCTCAATAAAGATCGAAACGTTGGCACCATAAAAAAAAATGTTTTTCTGAAACCTACATCACACCAGACCGCATCTCACGATTTCTGCATAATTATCGATTAACTGTCACTAATCACCACACGTTAAATATTGTGTTTATTGTAATTTTCCTTCTTCATTCAAGCGTTTGTCAAATTGGTTATTTTATACTCATATCATCAGACAACTAAATAATTTCCTTAGATTCTATGTGAGTTTATGAAAAATAAAAAATAAAACGGGCCTTAAAACAGTAGGGGTAATCCTAATTTGAAAAGTGTATTCAGAAAAATATTGTTTTGCAACTATATTCTCAGAGTTTTTAGCTTTTCTTTTACCTGAATCAGTTCTGCAAGTCTCATTTAGCTCATCTAGCTTCAGCAAACAAATTCACAACATACGAACCTCTTCCCTTACATATTGATTTACTAATTTGTTAGCAAGTTGTTTTCGAATTTAGATCTTTAAATTTTAGTTATTTTTTATTTATTTTTTAATTGCATGCAAACGCTTTGAGTCACAAAGTTTAATCTTATCGACAAATAAAACGGCATCGATAAAAAAAAAACAGACCAACCACCGAAGATAGGGAAACAATCTGACATAATTTTCAAAAACCAACAATAAAAATACCACAGAGTCATCCATTGAAGTTGTATAAAAATGCGTTTGACATTGTTCTGTCTTATCTTATAATTATCCTAGTGGGAAGTAGGAAGATAAAATTTTCTTTTATCTTACAATCGATATAGAAGAAAGTGCACAAATTATGGAGAGATATGATTTTGTCATTGACATACTAAACCTGTTATATTGTCGCAAAAGAGCTGTATTAAACAAAGAGTTGATTTGGAATTTTTATTAATTGACTAATTTAGAAATCTTTCAACTGTCAGATAAGGCTTCCTTTCCCTTGACTGTCTTTTATCTGATTTATGGCGACCATTTGACACAATTATTTTTTAGGTAAGTAAAGATTTTAGTAACTAAATGCAATACAGATTTTTTCTGTTATATGTTTGTTAAATAGTCTTTTTTTTTTTTTTTTTTTTTTTTAAATATATACCTAATTCGTGTGGCAGCTCGTGTGTCAAAACTGCTAAAGAGGTTGAAATGCCGATGATAGGCCCTTGGCTGAAAGCTGCGCCGATGGCCAGTCCGTCGGTCAGGTTGTGCAGTCCATCACCAGACATGACCATCCATGCGACCGCCTGACCACTGTTGGCATGGCTGTGACCGGCTAACGACTCTTCTCCTCCTTCAGCTTCTTTCATCGCTACTTTCTGTTGTTAAAGAAAAAAAACCGTTAAAGGTGGAAAAATATCATAGTTTGTTTGTTATTTACGTTTCGTTTTCCATGTATAATGAAAGCTTCCATAGTGAAGAAGAACATGATTAGGAGGAAAGCCACGGTCGATCTTAGAACTATCGTTTCTTCACTAGCTTCACTATCTTTCAGAGCCTTAAATAATATAGAAATTGCAACGCATCATCATATTAATTGTTCAATTAAAACATGATTGTATAAGTTCAAGACAATAGAAATTACATGAGGAAGGAGATGAAGAAGGGCATCGCCTGCTAGTGTCCCCACCGCCAGCGCTCCAAGAACGGTCAACAACTTTTGGAACATAGCTTTCTCTAGCAGAGGAACCAAAAGAATCCCAAGAAGTCCGCAAGCGCTCATCACCAACACACTGATAATTCCGAAGAGCCAAGCTGAAACGTTTCTTACAGATTTGACCCAAATAATTATTATTTGTGTCATAACTACCTTTGTAGTCTTTTTCGTAGACGTAGTTGTCCAGTGGGACCAACGGAACCCTCTCGGCACACACCTTCCTGTCCAGTTGGTACACAATGGCAGGACACATCTGCATAAAGTTCTCCGGTGATAATTCGACATCGTGGCCAGGGTCGACGCCATACACCCTCAGAAGATCCTCTGTCCTCAGGCACTTTTCTTCTGGAACTAAAGTCAAAAAGTGGTTTATTTGGAATGACGATTCATGGGAGTTTTATGCTGTTTTACTTAAGCTCCTCCGCCTCCTGGTGTGGTTGTGGTCATGGACGTTTAAACTGTGATGGACGTCTTGAAACCCGCCGTCTTTCGTTTTGTGCAAAGAGACGTTGTGCTTTGTGAAATCTAACCCACCCAGTCCTAAGCTTTCCATTAAATGTTCTAACCCCTATAAAAATAAATAAAATAACTGCTTTTTTAAGTTGTATGGTTATGCCTTATGTGTTGATTATTATTTAACTTTGATTTAGTATAGTATTGGGGAAAATGGTGTAGATGTCTGTGTAATAATACTTGATCGATTTATTTTGTCTACAGATAGTGTACGTTTCAGCATATTTCCATGTTCAGTGGTTGGCCTGTGTAATTTTTTGCTGTTGTCATACTAACCAGATACAGAGACAAGTATTCTAAAAAGTATTTGGAGGTCGTGAGATGCGGTCTGGTGTCTAGGTTTTAGAAAAACATTTTCTTTATCGTGCCAACGTTTCGATCTTTACTGAGATCATCTTCAGGTATTTATTTTCTGTATAGAGGTGTTATTATTGTATGTCGTGTTGAGAGTGCCCGGCAAAAACAAACACTGTGAGCCCTGAAGATGATCTCACTAAAGATCGAAACGTTGGCACGATAATAATAGTGTTTGTTTTCCGTGTAGATGTGTCATTCTTGTCTGTCGTGTTGAGAGACAAGAATGACACATCTAAAAGGAAAACAAACATTTTGAGCCCACAAGATGATCTCAATAAACATCGAAACGTTGGCACGATAAAGAAAATGTTTTTCTAAAACCTACATTCACCAGACCGCATCTCACGTCCTCCAAATAATCATTAAGTAACGGTCACTAAACACCACACATTTTAAAGAGTCTTAAAAATTTCAATAATTTTTCCTTTCAATAAATTCATTTACATTGAAAAACAATAAACAAGAACTGCAAGGATTGTACAAGTGAAACTGTAGTTTAGTGCAATTTACAATTTCAATTTCTTCTCCGAATCAAGTCATTAACCCATGACTGCCCTTGGCCCTTGATTAGGGTTTATCTGTTGTTTGAATAAAGGCGGATGTTTGGCAGTCGCCTTAGCAACCCAATTACCGGTAAATTGCAGAAGCTGGGTATCAACGAATTGACCAATGCTGCTTCCTTTCCGACGGCTTGAACTGTGCTAGTAATGCTAGCTTGAATTTTGCAACTTAAATTTATATTTATACAATTTGAACTAAACATTTTTTTAAGTACGTTCATTTACGATAATTGCGGCGTAATTACCCAGTTTGTGAGATTTTTGACATGAGATTTAATGACATTCTATCGTTTCCTAACTACATTTTTCATTTTTTCCAATTTTACCCACTCTTCTGAAGGCCATGATCATTGATTTTCCCTTATTGCTTGTAATTTTTCAGTGATCACAATAGTTCTCTTACTTTTTTTTTTATTACCGCAGTAATTTGGAATTTTCATCGCATACCACCAACTCCACAAAGAACCAAAACTTACAGAAGATATCTTATCCTGATTCCTTTAAAAAAATTCTTAACAATCCATTAATATATGATTTAAGAAAAACTTAAACAACAGCGAGGAAACAAAAAGTCTGAGATCAATCCAATAACGAACGCTAAAGTTGGGAAAATCATAAACTTCGATATCTAATAACCATCACACATTTTTGAAGTTTTAAATCAAAAACAGAGAATGAATAAATTGAACTTTTTTTAAGGCAAACCCATATTTCTTTTAAAATGGGAAAACCAAAATTTTCATAATTAAATTTATCTCTCGCAATTTTCATGGACATAAGAGATTACCATAGAGTCATCTATGTTTAAAATTAGACATAAATTGCATTTGGCTTAAGAAAAATTAAGAGAAAACAACCTGGAATCTACAAATGTTAATAATCATAATTTTGGATCGTCTGAATTGGGAAAAGTATGAATTTTCACAAGTGAAAACAATTATCTCTGCCTATTTTCAATATTATGAAAAATCGAATAATTTTCCAAGCAAAAAATTGACATTTATCGTCTACAGTTGCTGATCATTATGCGTTTACGTTTCGTTTTGTTGATGACAAATTAAAACGGCCGAGAGAAAAATTACTGCTTCTAGATCAGAAACAAATAAGCTCACATTCTTATTCTCGGTTTCCAATTAAACATTTTAATATCCCCATCCAGCTAAGCAAGGAAACCTCAGCGAAATAACATCTTTATCTATTTGTTTTCCTTTGGTATGTTAAAGGTATTAAGAATGGACGATTCATTTGAAGTGCTACAAGAACTTTTTGGCTTCTCTGCACTTTGATTTTTCCAGGATCTGATCCACTTATTCTAAAGGCCGCCACACACGATCAAACATGCTTGACAAACATGGTTTGTCAAACCTGTTTGTCAAGCATGTTTGATCGTGTGTGGGTTCATGTTTGAAGGTTTGAAGGCGTGTTTGATGGTTTTCAGGCTCTGCTAGAAATCGTGCTATCAAACATGAGGTTTGACAAGCAAGTTTGATCGTGTGGGCGAGCATCAAACCGTCAAACCTTCAAACCATCCAACAATCTTATCTTTCTCGACAACTACAACTGTTTCTTTGTATCTGTCATAGTTTGGTTGCTATGGACTTTCATAGTTTGGTTGATATGACTCATAATTTCTGTTCACATACTAGTTTTATTGATGGAACCATAAGAAGAGAGGTGGCGATAAGAACCTCTTTTCATCAACCACTGTTTTGTCCACACGGGCCTCTTATTCTTTTTACGGTCTCTCTCTCTCTCTTCGCTGCTTCACCCTCATCAGGCAGTAAATATAACTAATAAAATTAAAATCCATTTTAAAATGAACTAAACTCAACTAGCAACTATTTGAAACTGAAACTTGAAGCATGTTGGACAGACGTTTTTAACAAACAAGTTTGACCGTGTGGGTGCAACGTCAAACTTCAAACATGTTTGTATTTTAAATGCATAATACTAATTTCTAATTTTTATAACTGAAGAGTGGAAATTCGAAATGTTCTAAGCGCCTTCTGTTACTTTTTCAGGAAAACTATAGAACTACGAAAGTCAAATGGCAACTTAAAAACTTTATTGAAATTATTGTAGTGGTAATATAGGAGTATATTCTTTCGCAGTTAGTGCAATTAAAAACAAAAACAAACTCCTTAATATGGAAAAAAATAAAATATGGAAGAAGAAGAAGGTAATTGAAGATAAAGAAGATATCGAAGAAACGAAGAAACCGTGGTACATGGAATTCTCTGAATGAAAACTATATTGATAAATAGAACATAGTAAACTATAATTTAATAGATTTAAATGAACGTATAAAGATAAATTAAAGTTTTAATTATTTAGAATGTTTTGATAATAGTTTTCAGCACTTTCTGGCAAAAAATCTAACATGGCAGAAAAAACGTTTTTCTTGTCAACCGACAGGGATGGCTTCTGAATCATTGACATACAAACTTTTTTAATATCAAGAGGTTTAGCTTCTTTTTTAGTACATTAACACGTTTCTTCAAGTCTGTGTCATTGAATGTGGAGTTATACTGGATAAAACCTGGATCATCGTTGGAAACTTTTATCATAGTAGCCTTTTAGCTTTTGTAATTGGAACATTTACTGGTAATATAGTCACGGGCGTGTTTTAAGTCTAGAAAGTACGAATGTTCCATATGGAGAACAATTCCCCCAAACAACTGATGCCACAACATTTGGACAAAATCTGTCGGAGTGAAACATTTGGAAACCCTTTTCCTCTTTTCAATAATGGCGAAGTATCGACCACATGATAAAAAGCTATGACCGCTTTTTAGAAATTTCCGAACCATCTCTTCAAAATGATCAAGTTGTACCAAAAACGTCATTTAAAAAAATAAGGGTGCGGTTTTTATTTTGGCCTGCACAATTGTCTGACCACATAACCAGTTTCTTTCTACCAAAAATGTCATATGAATTTACTAGACGTAAAACGCAGGATCCAACTTCTGATTCTCTAACTGGCTGATACGCCATGGCTCGAACCTTTGGAAAAATCATACGTCCCATAATTATTCGGAAATCGTGAGATACGGTCTGGTGTGATGTAGGTTTCAGAAAAACATTTTCTTTATCGTGACAACGTTTCGATCTTTATTGAGATCATCTTCAGGGCTCAAAGTGTTTGTCTTCTGCGTAACTGTGCCATTCTTGCGTGTCGCGTTGAGAGTGGGCACCACATAGGTCCCGTACTTAGACCAGTGCCTTCTATGAGGAACGCAACATACCACTTTTAAAGAGGTTAGAACATTATTAGTGCTATTGGCGATGGCACATAGAACACATTAAGAAAAAAATCTCAGTTTTGAGGAAATTGGCACTTAGAATGTTTTGAATTTCCACTCTTCAATTAATAAAGTAAGTTTTTCATTAGTTCATTCATGTTGGTTTAATATTAAAATATTTTAACTTCAAATCGACTAATTCCACTATTCAAAATACGTAAGCCTTCTGACGTATTTGTTTTAAAAATGTGACTTTTGTAAGTGATGAAGCCAATTAAAGCAGTTTCACTTCAATTTCACATCCAACATGTTTATCATAATTTAAAAGGGTTTTCATTTAAAACAACGTATTTTGTAAGGAAAATTTACCATCATTGATGGAATGAATAACGAAAAGATGTATGTTATAGAAAATTATTTTCAAAAATATTTACTAAAAAGTCAGTTATTGAAAGAAATATTAGCATTATAAGATATTATTTTTATCATAATACCTAATAAACGTACAATTAAACTATTTATATTATTGGGTTGTCCGGAAAATAATGCAGGATTTTGGTATTAAACAAAAAAAAAGAAACTAGTTACTTTAAAGCAATGTTCTTTAATCAAAATAATTCTCCCAACGTGTTGGTAACTTATTAATTCCGTCTGAGTAGAATTCAGAATTTTTAGAATTGATAAAGTCAATAAATGCATTTTCCAGTTCCGTTTGATTTTTGAATATTATGTGTTCTAAGTAGTGGTCCAGGTGTCTAAAAAAATGGTAGTCAGTAGGCGAGAGGTCCGGAGAGTAGGGTGGGTGAGGCAAAGTTTCATAGCCAAGCTCCAATAATTTTTGTGACGTTACACGTGACACATGTGGTCGAGCGTTGTCATGCAACAAAATGGGCCCTTTCCGATTGACCAAAGAGGGCTTCATTACTGCCAATTTCTGATGCATGGTATTAATTTGGTTACAGTATGATTCAGCATTGATGGTTTCGCCAGGATTTAAGAAGCTGTAGTGTATTAAACCAAATGAAGCCCACCATACCGTAACCATTACCTTTTTTTGATGAGTTGGGGGCTTTGGAAAATGTATTGGAGCTTCTCCTTTGTCGAGCCACTGTCCAGAACGTCTAGTGTTATCGTAGAGAATCCACTTTTCGTCACATGTAACAATTCTGGCCAGAAATGGGTCATTTTTGTTTCGACAAAGAAGTGATGCACAAACATCAAAGCGCTGATTTTTTTGGCGATCGTTTAATGAGTGTGGAACCCAATTTTCGAGTTTTTTCACTTTTCCAATCGCCTTGAGGTGGTCAGCGACGGTCGTTTTACTGACTTTGAGTTGCTCTGCACCCACCACTGATCGCAGAACATCATCATTAAGAGAGGAAGGCCTTCCACGACCTTCTTCATCTTCAAGGCTGAAATCTCCCTCCCGAAATTTTTTAAACCACCTTTGCACAGTGCACTCATTAACACAACCCTCGCCCCAGACTTGGTTAATGTTTCTAGCCGTTTGGGCTCCGCTTCGGCCGAGTTTAAACTCGTAAAAGAAAATCGTACGAAATTCTCGCTTTGACATTATAAGGATGACTGAATTATTTCCAAGTAGCGGAATGCTACAGAGGTAAACAAACAATATCATTTGGAAGAGGATTAATAAGTGTTGACATTCATACAAATGAGTAATCCTGTAAACGTAAACAGAATATTTTATATAGATTTTTTTTAATGAAAACTTAAAATCCTGCATTATTTTCCGGACAACCCAATATTTATTAAAAATGTATAACTCGCCTATTTTAAAGACGGGGCTGTTGAATAATTTTCAATTTTATGTCAAGCAATCTGTGACAGTGTTTCACCTTTTATCCGCGTTTTTTGTACGCTCGTATCTTGAATTATGAGGCATTTTATTCATGATCAATCGTCTAAATCATAAAAAAACCTCGAGATAATATTTTATCTGTTCTGTCGCGACGGACGGGCCAAAGAAAAGTTTCGATGATTTTCAATATTCAGTTTTCATCGGCAACAACGTCGTTTCCACGCGTCTCATCAGCTCTCAGCTTTCGACAAGGTCGCGGGTCCCATTGTCGCGGGTCTCAAAAGAACAGTTTTATTCCAGAACAAAGGGCCCAATTCAGATTAATAAACACTCCAAGACTCCGGGCAAAATAACGCAAACACAATGGCGACAAAATGTGATTTCAAACAAAAGCACCAATTTCCTCGGTGCCGTTCCGGATACCGGCAATTCTGCAATTTCCTCAATTATACTCATTCCAAGGAGTAAATTGCAGAAAAAAAAACCAGTAACGTATATCATTAAAATTTGACGGTAAAAGTGACAGAATTACATGAATCACTTTTGCCTTTTTGAAAAGATTAAAAAATAATTAAAATCGAATCATTACAAGATAAAGAAATGAACGAATTATTAGTTGTTTTTGCTTCGTCTTTAATATAACTAAAATAAGGTAAAATTTATATTCTAATCAATACATTCCTTTTGTGTTTAAGGATAAAAAAATTCATTAAATAGTGAGAATTCCCTTAACAAGTAGCAAACTTTTTTCGAGAAAGCAAATAAGAGCGAGATAAATTCAAATAATTCAATACATTAATAAAACGAATAAGTAATTATTGACTTTTTTATAGCGATAAGAAACAGAATACAGAAGAAAACAGCAAACCAATTAAATGTACTTCTATATTTTAAAAAGTAAAATAAAAAATTGCACAAGAGTTTTGCAATTGCACCTATCGAATTTATGTTGTACCCCTCTTTTCCAGCTAACAAACGATGTAACCAATGGGCAATGTTCGAAAGTAAAATAAAAAAATAAATCAAATAGCAATAATTTATAATAATATATTACATTATGATAGAAACGGTTAGAAGAAAATTACTGTTATAACTCGTTATAACTCCTCGTGTGTTAGGAGTAGCGACTACTTTAGATTTAAAAAAAGCATATAATATAGCATGTAATGTAATAAATAATTATATATGAATTAATAATGTATAATATATATTTTAAAATTATTTATTTTATTTTACACCATAACTATTTTTGCACAGAATGAAACCGGTCTCTTGAGAATCCAAGATTTAAAAGTGCTGCAATTTTTTTTTTAAATCAAGAGGTGCATCTTACCATTGAAGAACCTCTGGTCCTTTACGCTGTTTGAAAAATGCCTTTCATTATGTCCTGAGTCAAAAAATGCATTACCAAATAAAAAATCGCCGATTTTATGGCAAATTTGGGATGCAGTAGGAAAAATCCTGCTCGTTTCTCCAGAGAAGTTGTACTTTAGTACCTATCAGTACACTTTTCACCAAAACTTTTCAACATTAACTATCTTTTTTTTTATAGAGCAATAATAGGCAAAATGCCGTAGCCAACAATGTTTTTAAAATAAAAACAGGGGTAGTGATATAATTTTTTGTGCATAAAAAAGGTATATTTCGTCACAGGATGTAGGCAAAAATTAACAATTTACTATTTTGAAAAACCTCCAACTAAGAATCCGTTATTGATTTCGAGAAAATGATACCGAAAAATGACAACTTTTCGGCCTCTGTTTAAATAAGTAAATGACCCTAAAATATAACTAAAATACGGTAAAATTTTAGATTTTCTTGCTTAAGCAGAAAGTAAACACTATTTTGAAAAATACATAACACAAATAAGATTCATTGAGTAGAAATAGATTTAAAAAACTAAGAAAAAACCGGCTGTTGGTACGAACAAGTATGCTACCCACTTAATAAATAACATAATGTTGAAATGTATACAATATTTTCTGTTTTTATTAGTTTGCCAAACTAGAAAACAAGACGTCATCATTAACTTGAGAAAAATGTCAACATGTCATTCTTTGATATAGAGAATATCAAGATATTTAAGTGTCCGTCTTTTTATGAACTATTGGTTTAAAACCACTTTAGAAAGCAATACTACTTTGTTAAAATTGTTACCTTCATGCAATTAACCGTAGCAGTTTTAGTTTCTGAGTGTTTTTTTACCCATAAAAATTCGTGGTAATAGAACGTACAAGATTTCGCTTAAAAGATTAATGATCGTAGGTATTATTTATCTGTGTTTATTTTTATGTTTCCTCGTACTGCAAAAAGTGTGAATTAATCTATTTTCATTAACTCGACAAATGTTATAAACAATCTGAACTATGATTATAAATATTTGATAGTTTTGAACTTTAATTCTCAAGTTTATATTTTTTATTTACACCAGCTAGTAAGACATGCAGAAATGTAGTTTTTTTAACGCTTTGTGAAGAACTTTAATCAGAAACCTTTTAGATAAGGTAATTTTGTATTACTCAATCATCCAGCTCATGATTGAAATATTTGTCTTCGGGTGAAAAGATACTCAAAATATTCAAGATTCGAAAATAATCAACATGTCTGATTTGTATTTATATTGTTCAAAATCTAAAGCACTTATTAATGTCTGGTCAGGCCTAAATAAATATTAGATTGATTGTTTCTTTATTGTAAAATGCTGATAAATGGAGGAGCCCTTGTGATACCGTTACTGTTACCGAAAAACCAAAGTCCGTGTGAATGATTTTTTGTTATAATAAAAGTTTTTGAACAATTTAATTAGATTTAATGCAAATTAATAAAAAATTCGTTTCTTAAATTTAATATTGCTTATCTCTTGAGATAAGCCAGGCTCCTATTGTTCTCTTGTAAAAAGAAAAAGCCAATCCATCAAAAGTATTTGTCGAGGAAAAAATCGTTTGTTAAAATTGTTATTAAAAAAAATTACAAACCTCAAAAGTGAGAACCTTTTTGTTTCCATACTTCTCGAATAGATGTGAAATGAAGTACTCGTCGATGCTTAGATCGGATTTGGCCGATGCTTGACAGAGCGCCGCTCCGACGAGTAACGCTGCCTTGAGCAACAACATGACTAGTGTCGAGCGTCCACAATCGGGACCAATTGGCTCAAAGATTAGCTTCTCTACCTCAGGAACACAACACAACACTAAACACTCTCAAGAATAACATCATCACCTTTCTTGAGCGACGGGCTTTTCAATTCTCTTTTATCTTATCCAGTACGCGTCCCCACTTTTCCCACTGCCCGGGAACTTTCTGAAGAAGCGGTTTGTTTTTCTTTATTTTTGTCAGATTTCTGAACAGTAGCGTTTATTTACTCATTGATAGGAAAATTTATAACCCCCCCCCCAAAGAGTTACTTACTTTTTTCTCCTTTTGTTAAATGTTCGGTGTTTAAAACCGAAAACGAATCATTAATAAATTCCACAACAAACATTTGACCTACATTTAATTGAAATCATAAAGAAAACATAGCACTCTTTTCTATTTATTCCTTTTAATCGAATAAAATAAAAAGAATTAACCGAATTAAAACGTGACTATTTTTTTCAATTCAATATGCGATTATGGCTGAAGGTTAAACGGCGTTTCTATATAACTTCCACAGCTAATCAATACATTTTTTAAAACATTAAACATTTTCTTATCTAAGAATGTTTTCAAAAGATTTTATTTCGTAGTCAATTTAAATTATAAAAAGCAATCAAATCAATAAATACTCGTACGTTAATTGTTCATTTGAAATTTAATGCAATTAAAACGTATTCCCAGATTCATGGAAAAGTTGAATCACTAAATTGTATTTCGTTGTTTCAAGAGATGTAGATATGACTCTAGAAAAATATTTGAACACCTCTTTATTAACATTGTCAATAAATTCACTAGTTTCGTGGTCCGCTTGACCAAAAATGGCAAAAAGGAGGGAAAATTCAAAAGGTGTGGTTGGGATAGGAGGTTGGTGTCCGAGTGGATCGAGGTCACGATAGTTCAAGTGGTAGAGCAGCGGCGTATCGAGCCGAAGATCGTGGGTTCGAATCCCGCTCGTGCCATTGACTTTTTTATCTCAACTGAAAACCTTAATTAATTGTCTATAAAGTAACAACTGGGCACATAATTACATTTTTGGGAGCCACGGTGACTGGTTGGACGTCCGACTCGTAATTGCCACACTATAGGTTCTGGGTTCGAATTCTGGCACAGCCCATAGAATTTTCATCGTAAATAACATGAAGAAAGTACTGCAAAGTGGCTTCATCCCTTGTTCACGACACCCAATGAGTAGCTTGGTTGACTCCCTCTTATATAGCCGGTATTTACGTTTCATTTATTTTATTTTTGACGAGGGTTCGAAACAGCAGAGGTTATATCAACGTCGGGGTGCCGGTGTTTTTGAAAAAAAGCCCATTTGTACGTATGTCGGGTTCGAACGCAGGGCCGCTGGATTCGAACCCCGGACCTTTATCTTACAGTGATGAGCGCCGTGTCAACGCCTAAACCGTTGCGGCCACCTTCACCCCTTTTATTTTATTTAAAGATATTTATAATATATGATATATAACGTGAAACTTTGGAAAACTTGACTCCTTTTTGTGAATCACAGCTGTGTACCACAGAAATGTATTTCTAGCAATACTCTGCTTCATAGAGTTTATTTATTTACTGTAAGGTCCTCTCATTAATCCCATACACCCACACATACAATTCTAATTATTACCATAGAGACACATTTAAATGTACATACCCACGCAATATAAACAACTATATATGTGTGGAAACACCCCTCTTTGGGAAGGGGAACAGGAGACCTAACCATTGAGAACAATCTTTATGGCAGGAACAAACCTACTCGCACCCTGTAACGGGCCAAGGCACTCTTCGATCAGATGTGACACACTGAGCAACTTTCTTTGCAAACAGACCATAGCGTGGGTTTTTTGTTCGAGTGTAAAAGTATTAGTTGAATAAGGATTTGTGTGAAAACCCTGGCACTCATTTATTAAGCACAATGTGCTGTAGAATTCATTGTACATAGCTGCAGTGATTAGGAGGTTCCTTCATTTTCACCACAGATTCTATTAGTGGGAATGTTCTTACAAGTATTTTTCAGAAAGCTGGATCATATCAGAGAATTTACAGAATGAAAAGCCATATTGTAAGGTGGTCTTGGTCTAACAACAAATCCCATATTCCCTCTCTTTGATGATGGTTTTTTAGTCTACTGTAGACTTGGATACGTGATATCCATAAGTAGTTGGGCCATTAGACTGATCATCTAGGGTTGCTTCTTTCAAGTTTATACTTGGTTCCATTCGTATACAGATGATCAGTTCAGCATCCGGCCGAAAACGATTCACATGCTCAGTAGGTTCGAACGTCAGATAATATCCAATAGTCAGGGGGTTTAGTCTTACTCAAAATCCCAAATTGCCTCAATTTTATGATAGTTTTCTAAACAACTATGTACATCATAGAAGCTTGGCAAACCGTGAACACTTGGAAAAGATGTGGATACTATTGAAGAATATTTCAAGGAAAACAAAGCGAAATGACATGCGTGAGGAGGTAGCCATTCGTGCAGTATCGTGAACATGGGCGAGAATATTTCGGACTATTGAATATTCCAGAATCCTGAATCCTTGGAATATTCGAGAATATTCTCTACGCTTTGAATAAGACGGATGCTGCCTAATTCCATTTCATTTGAGAGTACGACAGTAGTTATACTGATGGATGTGACTTAGTTGCTCTCTAAATCCCACGCTCTCTACCGTGAGGGATTTTTAGTCAACTGTAGTACAAATGGAAATTGGTAAAGGCTAGACTCATGTTGAGCCATTTGTCCCACTGATCCATCTGGCGATTCTTTTTGCAAGATATTAAACTTATATGAAGCTTTTTTACAAACTAATCCCAGTTTCAGGATTTTTTTTTTTTGGTTGTAATCGTAGAAGAGAAGGACATATTTTAGAGAAAGGTTTCAACGGAAACGGAAATGAACATGCCATTAACGTGAGAAATTCGCCATTTATGCTATAATAGTGCGGAGAACAACAATAAAAAGATTCTCCACTTATTTGAGGCCAAAATAAAAGTATAAGCACTTCTTAATAAAGAATCTTGAGTAGAAAAATCGAAGGTACAATGGCTATGCTTACTATCTCTGTACGTAGACATTCAGCCGATTCCCTAGAGAAAAACTCCAAAATCAACTTCAAATTCGGTCAAGCTGTTTTGAAGTTGAAATCTAACAATCAAGATGAGACGGTTCGGGAAAAAAGCAACTGCAGATAATGATGATCAGTCAACAGACTTCAGGTGCTTTTGGTATGGCATCAGTCATCACATGGGGAGGTATGTTTTCAAAACTTAAACCTAATAGCTTCATTGCTCTGCTGCTAGATGATGGCACTTCTAAAATAAGGTTTCAATAGAAATGATGTTATTTTATTATAGAATGTCATTTCTTTAGCGTGTTTATCAGCTTAATTTTTAAATTGTTCGATACCCTTTTGCAGGAGTAAAGACAAGTAAGCACATTACACTTTCTCTATTAATGTGTTTACAGTTCAAATATTTCCTGACTTTTTTAAATAATAGTTATATTTATAAAGAGGATCGCGGTGGCGGTTAGTCTCACTCGTATTTCACACGCTAAGGGTTCTGGGCACGAATCATGAATTTATTGTAAAGTGGTTCTGAGCCCTAGTCCTCGTTAACCAACTGGTAGTTGACGTTAAACCACCCTGTATGACATAAACTGTATCTATTTTTTAAAGTTTCTTTTTAGCTATTTGGCATTATTGGAAAGTTTTGAACATAAAATTCAATTCATTAGATTTCGTGGTCCGATTGACCAAATAACACCTTTCAATTAATTAATCTTTATGTAAAGTATTGGTTGACATAAAAAAGTCAGTGTGACGAGCGGGATTCGAACCCACGACCTTCGTCTAAATACGCCGCTGCTCTACCAGGTGAGCTACCGTGACTTCGATCCACTCGTACACTAACTTCCCATCCCGACCCAACTTTTCGAATTTACCCTCCTTTTTGCCATTTTTCAATTACTACTAATTACACTAATTAAAATTCAAATACTAATCCTTAGGTTTACCAAATGTTAACGATGTCATCCTTACTTTAAACTATTTATTGTCATTAGTAGTAATTGTTTTTAATTGCTCGCTCGGACAAGACACCATTTGATGTTATTATTAATATTGAACGGCACAAATATTATTTTAAAAAATTTGACGAAATTTTTATTGAATCACAATGAGTTTTCTAACGCCTCGTCCCAACACTCGACAGTGTACATCATACTACAGACTTTTCACAATCGTTTGTGTTTATTTGTATAATATATCTTCTAATGAGTCTAAAAGAACTGTTTATTACTAAAAGGTCGTTGTATTACAGATTGTTCTCTGCTACAAAACTTTCTTAAGCTTGCGTCAGAAAAGCCCTTGAAACGGAAACATTTTCAGAAAAAGGAAAAACGAGCTATCGTGCTAAGAAATTTGCAAAACGCTATTGCTCATAAATGATTTATAACCACGAGTAAAACACCATGAACTTTCACCTTGAGAAAATTTGTCACCACATATACGGAGATACAAATAAATAGTTCAACACTTTTGCCATTTCCCATTAAATTGTTTGTTTTCAGATAAACAGAAGCCGTTTTAATGACGAATTAAAAACAAAACCAGTTAATACATTGTTAGTTAACTTTACTCTACCACTAAATTAATTTCCGGTATTTTGATGAATTTTCTTTCACATCGTCATAATTGAATCATTTTTATTTCTAAAATTCGAATTTCGAATCTTGTTTCATTTAGTTTACATTAAAATAAGTGTTCTAATTAATATAACAATAAAAATACATATAGGTTTAAATAATCAACAAAACACGAGTGTCCAGTTTTTGTTTTTGAGTATTAGCGATCGAAATTAATTTTTTTATGATTGTTTATAAAAACGCTAAACCTTCAGTGCAATAGATAACGGAATAATGAAAAATTTTCTTTTTCACAAGGACTTTGTTGTTAAATAAAATAAATAATTAATTTTAAGAACAAGCACGTGAATAAACAGAAGATTACATATTTAATAAATTTGGCATTACATAACTAAATATAGAAATGTTATGAACTGAAAATAATATAATTATGTAATTCAAAAGGAATTTTAGTTATTACTGAATTTTCACTATATACTGAACTTACATTAACTGTTTAATGAACAATTAAAATGACCAAATGAGAGATGTAATCTTATAATTATTTGATGTTATCGAGGGAATAATCATTGGCCTTCATGATTGGATGAACCAAGGAAGAATAGGCCTGAAAGGCCATTATTTTCTTACACTGCATGTCACCAAAAAATATATAATGTCCGTGTTTTATTTTATTAAAATATTGTTTATTTAACATCTTCATAAACATATTTTTGGTAAAATGTCAAGATTTTCACAACAGGCTCATTCTAAGTTTTCACCATGAGCCTCACCACTGAGCCACTACGAGTGCATACCCATGTAGTTAGGCTTGGACTTGGGACGTTATGCTACCCCGTAGTTGAGTTGGTTATGCACCCTCCCCCGTCTGTGCAAACGGATCTTGTACCTAACACCCAAGCAAGCACCGCCATCCGCGGCTGACTCAAAAGCAACAACTGCGTGTACGCATTCGAGGGACCCTGTAGGCGTAGAATTCGCATCTTCATAAGCCTTACGCTCCCGATCTTCCATATGTACGCGGAGGGTTCTTACGGAGATGAGATCATGAGTACAGGTAAACACGAATAAAGTTTGTACTTTAGAGGATGCACCACGCTTTCAAGGCGCTCATTGAGTGAGGGTCTCACCGCTCTCATTATTTTGTGCCTGGAAACCCCACTTCCAGTCAAGGACCTCGATTGAGAAGGGGTAGCGCCTGAGAACGCAAGGCTCACCTTTTTTGCACCCCCTGCACCGGGCATAATTGTCGGTGGATGAAAGAAATGAGAATGGACATTCAAATATCCAAAGAATCGACCGCCTATCCTGACCACCCATCGCAAGGAACAATTCAGAGACTGTGTGACCTGTATTTGTTACGTCTTCACTGAATGAACAGGTTGCGATCCTCTTTTTGTTCGGTCTCGGAAGAGGCTTTAACAGTGGCGCCAGAAGAAGGCAAGAGGTCGCGGGAATGGGAGAGGTTACGAGTGGTACATCACCGTTCCGCACCCACTACCCCGTACGTATTCGAGGAACTGTTGGCATAGTCTTCGCGTCCTCGGACGTTGTACGCGTCCTTCGTCAGGTCATTACATATGCTGGTGCATACGGAGATCATACGCATAGCTGTAGGTGGATGGCCATCACAATATGACTCCAATGCATTAATCAAATCTGTAATTAGTTTGGTTCACAGTCGAGTAGGACCAGGTCATCTGAATACGGTAATAGCTTGACTTTACTATCGTCCTCCAGACAAACACTTTCATCTAGGTGATTCTCTAGATAGTTAATATAGAACAAAACCAAATTCAAGCTGAGCAGAAGGCCTCGTCCTAGTCCAATAACAGTGCAGATTAGACAGGCCATTAAAACACTACTCTTGGCTGAAGTATCCCGAAGTAAATTTTGTATATATACTTTTATTTTAGTATTCAAATAATTTGTGAATTGAAGAATGCGGTCAATACTATCAAATACATTCAACATAACATCCACGAAAACAAGCTTGTTTGTAGAAGAATAGGTCATTATTTTTTATTTATTTTATTTTAATATTTATCATTATTTTACTTTTTTAGTTTACTGATGGTGTTTATGAAAGAAATACCGCGATAGCTGGAGACCAAGTTTATGTTCCATTGTTTCAAGGCAGGGAATATTATACATTATATAAAACTTAATCCCGGATATTTTGGGGTGCAAAAACTACTATCAACTTGGTTTCTTGTTTAAAAAAAAGTTTTTTAACGTACTTTGCTACGTCGCACTGTTACAAAATAATAATTTATGGTATTTAGGTACAAATTTTCTCGCCCGAATTTTTGTCGTGTTTTTGCAAAAAGGTCATTGACACTAAATTTACAACATTAACTTTTAGCATTTTTTAAACAACTTGAACCAGAAACGCTTACCTGCAAAGTAAGTTTAATCTATCCCAACGCCGTGAATGCCACGGTTTGGAAATAAGTCTTTCAAAAGGTTCTAGTTAAGTCAATTAATTAAGGTTTTAAGTTGAGATAAAGTTCTAATTAATCTTCTTTGAAGTAAATGAAGATGTAGAAAGCAGTCAAATAAAATAATGAAGCGCTATTTAAATAAATCTTACTGATTGGGTTTCAGTGTTTTATTATTGGTTTGATTGTTATGCAATTTTGCCTAGGCTAAATACTAATTTTTATTTTGAATAAGGATGGAATTAAACCCTAAGTCAATCTTATTTAGGTGTTCAATGATTAAAAGGAATGTAGCTGATGTATGTGCATGAGTAGCAACTGAGAAATCGAATTGAATCAGATCCCTGACAAATCTGTTCAATGTATATGAATCAACGGCCTAGTATGACTTGTATCAAATGACAAAATTGGATGAATGGGTACGAACAATTTAACTGACTCTTATAAGCTTATTCTTTTTTAATATAGCCTCTTTCTTTTTTCTGCCCTAAAAATTTCAATTTTTCCATAAAATCTGTAGTTCGGATGAAAACCTTGTCGGGTAAAATAATTTTATTCGTTTTTATGAGAAAGCATTGATGGAGAACCTAATCAATTTCTTTTGCCTGAACTCTATCCGAAACTTTAACTGACTATTTGCTGGTTTGACAAAGATATATTTTGGGATTCAGATTGAAAAGTGCTTTTTTCGACCGGTGACATTCAAAGTTAAAACTTTTGAAAACGTTCGCCTGCTCACAGCAAAATTGTGATAAATAATCGATTTTTGATACAAAACTTTGTCATATTGTTCATACACTCCAGGCCTGTCGCAGAATAACCACTGTTCAAAGGTCTCGACAATAGGTCATAGCCAGACAAATTTTGAAAATGAAAATGGGAAGGTCTTGAAGCGGAATTTTCACTTTTTGTTTATTGAATAAGTAAGAATTATGTTTAAAAAGAAAAAGGATTGATTTTAGACCTTGATTCTTTTTAGCAGAGGATCATTGATACCAGTAGAGATTAGTTCAATAATATAATTACTCACTTTAAAAAAATAATGGACTCCTGGAGGACATTGAACATTAGTCGCTCGTTTATTTATTTTATTTTTTTAGCTTTCCAACAATTTCTGTTTGTTTTTATTTTTCGAAAGCTTTCGGACAAACACTCGGACCACCCTCAGTCTCCTCTCTTTTGTATACTCGAAAACGTAATGTAATGTATAATTTTTTACTAAAAAACTATAACAAAATACCATAGACTATTTAGATGAAGAAATATATTTTTGGCTGACTTTATGCTGTTTGTAGTTGACCTGCTTGAAAAAACCCCACTTTATTAAGTTCGAGACTTAGCCAATTAGGACTAGACCTTTGAATCTAGGAGTCAATTTGTAAAAATAATTGTTTTTGTTCTCGATTTGCTTTTTACTTTTTCAATTTTTGACAACATAGTCAAGAATATTGGCGGTATTTGCCCAAGTTTATTATTGACTCTAGCTCGTCAATAGAATACCATTTGGGAAATTTATAATTAGATTTAATTATAATCTAATAGTTTAAACATTTCATTATATTTCATGTTTTTCCCATTTCTATACTATATCGTACTTTTCGCACAAGAAATGTTCTTTACATTTAACAGGATATTATTGTTAATTTTTTTTATGGTTGAATGTACTTCTTTGGTTTAAAAGAAAATTATATATGGTATGATGTTTTATTTTTTGGACAAAACAAAATATACGTATAAGCTATCGCAATCATGAACTCTGCCATACATAAATCGATTGTACTGACATTTTGGCTGAAAATATCAACTTGCAAGATTTAACCAAACAAACGACGAGATATTTCTAAAACGGAAATATCCAAGAATAATGTTAAATCTTGTTCATACCGTCATTATATTTTTTCGTGACAAGGCAAATTTATCCACTTGGTCCGAATCGTGCGACCTACCCACGCCTTCAGAATACCTGTGCTGGCAAACGCAGAACTACATAAGCCAAAATTTATTTAAATCTTTGCATTCAAGAATTTTTTATTAGACATTCAGACGAATAGAATGGACTTTAAAAAACCTTGACTTTCTTATCATCCTAACATCATAGCATGACAACGGAACAAAACGTTTTAAAATATATCATTAATTAAATTATGGTTGTCATTTCTATTAAAGCCTATCGAAGAACCGAAAAAACACCGTTAAGGAAGACAAAAGGCAATACTGTTTCTTATTAATCTTAAGGCCGACCATTGTACCGTTACGGTTTATTGTCCATTGCTTTGCACCGATGAGTTGATGACTCATTAATTTCGCAGAGTTGTCCTTCTAAGCATTCAACAGCATTCGAATCATTAATATATCAAGACAAATAAATACAACATTCAAATGAACATAATTTCCATTATACATAATGGGTATAATAGGTGATAAGGAACAAATTCAAAAAAAGAAATATTGACCTAATCAGTTTTTGTATTAACTGTTAAATATTTGGGGTATAAAGGATAGATGAAGAATGAGAAATAACAGGATACAATGCATTTTTTGCATCATATAAAAAATGAAAATTAAGTAAACGTGGAGTTCTTAAAAGTATTGTTTATTTTGTCAGTCTATAATTGTTAATATCCAAAGAAATTTTAAAATTACATCTATTTTGGAATTTTTAGCTGTAGAATCACAGTTTCTTTTATAGCAAAATGGTTTGTGTGATATGTTTCTCTCTATTCTGTGTATTTGAAGGAGATGATATTTATGGTTTATTGCATTCCTTGTTTGCTCCAAAAAATGGGAACCGATTTGGCGGCCTGAAAGGAAAGTAGGGACCCTGGGTCGCTCCGTGTTGTTGAGGCTTGAATGGAAAATGAAAGCCCGGCTTTGGAAAATGGGGAAGTGGAAAACCGCCGAAAAGTCCTGGTTTGAAAAACCCATGATTTCCACCACCCTGAACGGACCCGCCGAGTCCGAATCCGCCGCTGGTTTGGTAGTTTCCACTGGCTCCGAGTTGTCCGCCTGCATGGGCCGTGCCAAAATTATTGGCCGGAGGTTGAGCGAAATTTCCTCCAGCACCTGCACCCCCATGAACGTTGCCCCCGGCAGCGAAATGGCTTTCACCATGAACATTTGATCCCGCTCCAAACTGACTTCCATGATTTCCTAGTTGAGACATTCCGTGAACTCCGCCTCCTGCGGCAAACTGTCCACTACCTTGGACAGCGCCACTAGCGCCGAATTGGCCGCTTACACCAGCGCTTTGACCTGGACGTCCACCGCCTTGGACATTTCCAAGTGGGTTGTAATGGCCGCCTCCTTGTACGGATCCTCCAGCCACATACTGCCCACTACCTTGCACTGCACCATTTACGCCAAACGCTCCTCCTGAGTGGCCTCCTCCTTGTCCAGCAAAATTACTTCCTCCTTGTCCAACATAATTGCTTCCTCCTTGACCAGCAAAGTTGCTTCCTCCTTGTCCAACATAATTGCCTCCTCCTTGACCAGCAAAGTTGCTTCCACCTTGTCCTACATAATTGCCTCCTCCTTGACCAGCAAAGTTGCTTCCTCCTTGTCCAGGATAATTTCCTCCTCCTTGGCCAGCAAAGTTGCTTCCTACTTGTTCACCATAATTGCCTCCTCCTTGTCCACCATAATTGCCTCCTTCTTGTCCAGCAAAGTTGCTTCCTCCTTGTCCACCATAATTGCCTCCTCCTTGTCCAGCAAAGTTGCTTCCTCCTTGTCCAGCAAAGTTGCTTCCTCCTTGTCCAGGATAATTTCCTCCTCCTTGCCCAACATAGTTACCTCCTCCTTGTCCAACATAGTTGCCTCCTCCTTGTCCTACATAATTACCTCCTCCATGACCAGCATAATTTTCTCCTTGCCCGACATAGTTACCACCTCCTTGTCCACCATAGGTGCTTCCTCCTGGACCTAAATAACTGCCTCCTACTTCTGAATTAACGCCATAAGGGCCACTTTCGTGTGCACCGTAAGGAACGCCTGATACTGCTGGAACTGGGGTTGATGGATTTTCCGAGACACCTTGGTTTGCGGGTAGGACAGATCCTTGTCCATAATTACTCAAATGAGGAGCTCCATACACCGGTCCATTTTGTCCTCCAGTAGGATTTTCATTACTCACTAGAGTATTTTCTTGTGAGGGAACTGTTCCTGAATTCTGTCCTGGTGTTACTCCTTGAAATTGTCCTACGCCATGAGCGGAACCACTAAACTGCCCTTGTCCGTGAAGGTTTCCATAATAACCTTCTGTGCCCAGTTGATTTCCAAAATTACCTTGGTTTGTAGCACCCCACGCATTGTTTTCGGCGTTGGTTCCATATCCTCCGTAGAAGTTACCTGGTCTCCCGACATTATTTCCGAACGCCATTCCTCCATGAAGTCCAAACGGCCTACCATGGCCATGGTTACCCTGACTCCAACCATATCCTCCTTGCATGACGAAATGATGGCCCCCGTTGCCATGTTGGCCAACGTAGTTGGGTTGCTCAACAAACGGACAGCAGTTGAGAGGGAAAGGGCCTGTCTGACCCCAACCTCCGTTAAAATTCTCTTGACCCGGCTGATAATTTACAGGCCGTCCCGTTGTATGAAATCCCATCTGCGGGAAATGATATTGCAAGTTCATTTTATCTTGTGTTTGGGGATACACCTGAGTTGGTACAAGGCTGCTCCCTTGCCCCACGACACTATTTTCTTCCTTAAAAACTCGATTTTCATTCGTTTCCGTTCCATTTGGAACACTGCTCTCATCGACGGCTGATGATGAACTTCCGGATACAGTTCCACCAACGGAAAATTCACCGTTTTGCCCCTGTCCAACACCTTGTACCGAACCATGTAAGACATAATTGCCGTTTTCGCTCGCCCCTCCTGTACCGTTGCTAGTCTTATTTCGGTTTCTCTGCAAAGATTGGTAAAGGAGATTGACCCTGTCTCTCGTCGGTTTTGGCACAACAGCCCTCTCCTTTGACTCGCTACTGTCAGTGCTCTCGGACGCGACTGCACCAACAAACGCAATCACAATCAATACCTGAAACAAACAAAACGGTTAGATACCAGATCAAGAGTTAAAATGTACACAACATCTTATTGTTGGCCTACTGTCTGGAATCTTTATTTGTCAAATCCTATGTACATAAAAGAAAATGTTATGCGCGCTCACGAAAGGTTTTACTTTTGTACTCACCTAAATAAACCATAATTGTTTAATTTTTTTTAAAATAACCAATTAATTTATTGCTGTGGTTTGTTTTGTAAGAATAATCGTAAACAATAAAACAAATCAAATGTAGAATCAAAAGTTGAATTATATGTCTTTATGTTCATTCTTCTCACACTAATTTCGTTTTTTCTTCTTTTTCGGTCACATTTACTTACACCAACTGAAATTCGAACACATTTTTTACTGAATGGCATAATTGCGTTGCGAACAACCGGACTTAGAACATCGACCAAAATTAGGAAAATTCAATTGGGAAAACTGACCAAGTCATAGTGGGAGTTGGTACGGGATTTAAAAACTGGATTTTCATTCTGCATGGTCGACACACACATTAAAATCGGGTCGCCGGATTTGAGAAGATACCATCCGACGGTACTGTGTCTGTAAATTACGGTAAACAAAAGAGGAGTGACAACGACAGTTTGAGGTATCTTCCCAGAAGACGATACGAGTACATAAAGGTACTTCTGAAGTCACTAAAGTTGTTAAGTTATTTGAAGGAACAATACTTCGTACACGGAATAAAAGGTAAAAATTATATTTTCAGTATTAGAAGAAGCAATCACTTTCTCACTCACGTACACCATACCTTGATCCAGAGGGTTCGTGGGTTAAAATTCTAGAGGGCATAGGGCCAGAGCAGGTCATGAAAAAGTTATACTGCTGAGAAATACAGAAATATTTTCAGGTTGGTCATCATCAGGTATTGAATAATTATTTTCCTGTTGCTGAACCAGGCAGGGTAACTGGTAAGCAGGGTATGAGCCTGGATTATGACTAGCCGTTAAGGGGTTTTGTGCCCTATTCGCTTGTCTTTCGCCCCATTTTCACTAATGTCCATATCGTGGTCATAAGATGATGTACATTACTGAGGTTTAAATGCCAATACTATTCCCAATATAGCAAGATTAAGCAGTTTTAACTTCTTCGTTAAATATGTCAAGTTGATACTATCAGATTCCTACTTATCCTGTATCAGTGAAAAAGACAGCTTTTGTATGCTTGACAGAGGAACAATGGGAGTACATGCTCAATGTTGTTTGCTCCCATTTACGCTAAGAAATGCACATCTAGTGCGTCAGAGAGAAGTTATGGCTCTATAAGGTCTATTATCCCGTGAGTATGTTACTGTGTTAAGGTGTGTGTATTCTCTCTATTCAACTTACAATTCGATTTTAGGAACGCAATATGTCGTGAAAACGGTTCAAAAAAATTTGATCCAGTAAACTTTTGTCGTTCAAGTCATATATCATTCCTTTCATGTTGAAAAATGACTTGCAACGAGTCAACATCTCAGTTGACTGTTTTCCGTTCAATTTTTACAACTACTACTTGTGATGTTTTATTTATTAAAAAACCTTTAAAAAGAAGTGCTTAAATGGAAACAGTGCACAATTGGGGGATCAATTAGCTGTTTTTGAAAATGGGTTAAAGATGAAAATATCAATTATTTATTCTTCATTGAACGTACCCACCAAATAAATAACACTAAACCAAGTTAAAACATGGGTAATATTCGATATGTAATGAATATGATGAATACTCTATAAAAACTAAAAGAATAAGTAGAAAAATTTGAGCACAACTTAGTTTAACACATATATTTTTTTTTTAATTTAAAGTGATATTTGAAAATTTGATGTTACCAACAAAAGACAAATAAAATTATCATGAAGCATTCTTCGGAAGTAACTTGAACAAAAATGTTCGTTAATTACTGTGTACCTGGGCACGAAACGACGCCAATTGCCATATATAGTATACCATCCCACCCCAGAAAAACTTTATACTTTCAACCGGCCTTTTTGATTTCCTCGGCTAGAAAATAATTGTCATACTATCTTACCTTGTAACGAAACATATCGGAGTTCACTGTGACTGACACCTAGCCAGGATTCATCTTATATATATAGGAACAGCTTAGGGGGATCCTTTGTCATCCCCTCCTGCCAACCCGGTTCATCCTGCCGCTCCTGCTGATTGAATTCAACCCCGGTTTTTTTCGACCTGTGTTCTATTAGATCGTCTTTAAAGAAAATGGATTTATTTATTAAAACAGGGATGAAATCAATGAAGAAATCCTTTTGACAGGAGGGAGGAAGTGGACTGAAAAATGCACCTTACAAAAGGGTTGTCAGACTTTAACATTTATTCAAGAACAAATTGAATTACTTTTTCTATAATGACTACATTCTTTAATTAACTCAATCAGAACTAACTCTTTTATTAATTATTTATTCACAGGAAAAGAACGAAAATAGTTTAAATTAAAAAATTAATACCAGATAAGCTTTTGTTAATTCGTGTTAAAAAAAATAATAGTCAGGAAAAATAAAATATTTATAAATGTAGTCCCAATTAAGTATATTTAAAAATCTCTCAATTTACATTATATACATATACATATATATNTATATATATATATATTACAAGAATATAATTTATCCATTTATGTGTAGTGATCTAATTGATCAAATTACTTATTTCAATTAATTATTCTTTTTATGTAAGGTCTTGGTTGAGATAAAAAAGAGTCTCACGAGCGGGATTCGAACCCATGACTTCAGCTCAAAATGCCACTGCTCTAACCACTTGAGCTATAATGTCTTCAATCTACTTGGACACTAACTTTTTCATCTCAACCAAGAACTTACATAAAGAGAATAATTAATTGAAATATAATTTATGTTTAGTGCATTAGTTTCACCATTGTGTTTGAGTGTGTGTTTTTTTTATGTACGTTTGTTATAATTTTCTTTATTTATAATAAAGTAGATTTTTGTCAACCCAAAATGATGCAGTATGTAAGGAAAAAGTTGTTTAAAGTTTTATGACTCTTATAAATATGTAACCTTTTTTTTTTTTGCGTTATGATCTATGCATATTAGCCATGGTGACAATTCATAATGTGAGTTCAAATGGGGGGGGTTATCGTGAAAAAAGGGCCAGAGGTGACGGTGGGAATCGAACCCACGACCGCGGCGTGAGAGTCTCTCATGCTAACCATTCGGCTACCATATTAGTACGTACTTAACCATAATGTGGCGGCCACAATCGTTTTATCAAAACATTGCAAATAACACTGTATTCTAATAAATGGAGTTTAAATTTTTACCACGAATGCATGAATACAAACAAATCTCCAAAGAAATCCAAGCTAAAAGCGATTATTTAGTTTAACATTCCCTCATCTAATGTGTTAATATGACCACCTTTCTTCGACCAAATATATAGGAAATTGAACAAGTAAGAAAATATATCAATAATTGCATACTTTTGAAGTGATATTGTTGGTGATAAAATATCTTACTGTTTGTCATATGGTGGTTGGGGTACAAAAATCTTAAGTAGTCGTTAGATCTTTAGATTCCAAACCCCTATATATTATAGTGTTGTAAAGCTGCTCGCCTTTATCCTATAGAAGAAAGGAACGGTAATGTGTTCGAATATTAACATCAGCATAAACATTACAATCCTATTTAGTCAGGTGGTTCCTACTCAGAGTAAGTTGTGTACTCACAACGGTTGTAGAACTCCTTCAATCTGTTGATGAGCAAAAAGCTCGAAATCCGGATCGTTGGAAAACAACTTACTGTGAGTAAGAACTATCTTTTTAAAAAGGATTGAACACCGCACTCACTCCACCATTCATCATTTCAATAAACATTAGAATCTTCTTTAAGATTATATTTTGTATTAAAAATAAAGATAAAGCCAATTCGAACTCAGATCTTTCGTCAGATCATCTAATTTACTTAAATACTTTATTTATTTTGTTATTTTAATTAATATTTCAATAGATTAATTTTTGTACTACTGTCAAAGTGTTTTGCAGTCATACCAGTGTTTTGCAGTTACATCACACGTTACCTGATTTTTTTGTGGTTGTCTTCCCCATCTATCTACCTTCGCCCCTGAGGACGGGAGACTCGATGATAGCTTTATATATGAAAACTATTAACAATTAATAAAATAAGCAATTAAGTATAATGATAGTGAACGCCTGAAATAAAACGATTATATTTATATTTTAATAAAAATATTAAATTATGAACAATCCTTGGAGTACAGAGAACGTTAAAAACCAAAATCAACAAAAACAAGCACGTCAGGATTATCAATAATCACCAATCAGAGGACAAAACTTGACTCGATTTCTCAAAATAACGATTTACTCTTTAAAAACCAAAAACATCTAGTCTTTATAAAAAAACAAATACTTTTTTAAAATTAGAGAAATAGAGAAATTTAGGGGGTCGTGTCCAAATGGCATTTGCCACTCTAGCGGTTCTGGGTTCGAATCTTGGCATAGCCTAAGGCTTTTTTAATTGTAAATACTATGAAAAATTATTGTAAGTTGGTTTGACCCCTCGTCCGTAGATGGTTTGAACTTACGTTCCTTTCTTCGTAAGTAAAGTAATTCCTGTCATACAGAGAGGGCTTAACCTGCAAGTACTCGTGGGTGTCGCGGAAAAGGAGTCAAGCCACTTTATAATAATTTTTCATACTGTCATTCATTAGTTATCCATGGGCTCTACCGGGATTCGATCCCAGCGTCGATTGTGCGGCAAATACGAGCCGGACACCCTAACCACCCGGCCACCGCGGTCCTAAGTTCTCTTGTATGACAGTGGTTTAAAAAATCTTGAAACAATTCTATGGAATAAATATTATCAGAGAACGTCTGTGGCTCATAATTAATTTTAACAGTTTTTCTTGACATCATGAATAATAATCGTTAACTTAAAGCACATCAGCCGATAATAAGTCATCATTTATATCATGAAACATTTATCATAAGATTAATGTTTCTACCGATGTTTTTATGCTTTTAAATTTCATTGTTTTTAATTGACATAATTTTTTCAGGATTTTTATCAAAAACACTTATTTTCAAGAACGAAAATAATTGATTTACAGCTCTTATAAAAATAAATAATCAGTATCCATTGGTTTATTTACGACTTTAAAATTAAGTTGAGCCTACTCTTGGAAGAGATTCACTTTGATTGGATCCCCTCAAAAATCTAGAAGTCTAATTAAAACGGAACTTGTATGAGGCAAAGAAGGCAAAAAATATAGAGATTATCCTTATCCTGGAGCTTCGAGATAAAATTTAGTATTTATTTGGACATCGACGTACTCTGGCGTAGGTTTAGAAAAATATTTTCTTTATTGTGCCAACGTGTTTTTCTAAACCAAATCTCATAAGACCCCCATCTCACCATCTCCAAATAATAATTAATAAAATTTTGTTCTAAAAGAAGGAAATGAGAAGAAAGCAAGCCCCAGTTGATTTTGAAAAGAGTGAAAGGATGAAAACTAGGTGTTACGGCCTGAAGATGTTTTCAGGCGTAAAGGAGATTGAAACGAGGAACCAACATAATATTTGAAGGTTTAACTTTTCTCCTTTATTGAGGAATAGTTGAGACGACGTTCTGCCGCTCTTCCAAGCTGGTACGTGGACCCTCTGCCTTTGAAAACAGACTCCTGGATCCTCGTTGGATCCAACCGATGAAAATGTAAAGAAGTGCTTGTTTGAGTGAACACCGTCGCGAACAAGTTGAAATAAAACTTGGAGAAATAACGAGAATGGAGTAGGAAAACTTGGTGCCGGTGACTACAGGGACCCACTCACTAGAATCCCAAGCCTAACTTGCGGGTGGCAGTAGGCTTAAACACAAGGGAATTCAAGCTATGAACGACGATGTCACCCGCTAAAAAACACAATGAGATGAAGTAGAGTTAGAGAAAAATGTTGGTAAAAGACTAACGAAGAAATTCAAGTTTCTGAAGCTGAAATGCGAAGTAATTTTTAACAATGATGAACTAAAAAAATTATTAAATTCATTAGTGTCGTGGTCCGCTTGACCAATATCTTACAATTAATTAAGGTTTTCAGTTGAGATAAAAAAGTCAATGGCACGAGCGGGATTCGAACCCATGATCTTAGGTTTGATACGCCGCTGCTCTACCACTTATCAAGCCGAAGATCGTGGGTTCGAATCCCGCTCGTGCCAGTGACTTTTTTATCTCAACTGAAAACCTTAATTAATTGTAAAAAAATTATGTTAAAAAAAAAAATTAAGTTATAACATATGACCTGAACTTATGAATAGTGAACAAACAACGGTGTGAAGTAGCTTCTTTGGTGATGCTTTTTTCAGTCTTTTTTCGTCTGTTTTTGAATTTTAATAACTGCCTTGAAGAACCTCTTTATTCCTTTATCCCTAAATTTAAATACAAATCGTATTTCTGAATTTCTTGGCGTGGGTTGACTTTAATTTCTTAAATTGGCATTCTCCCTACAATAATAACGAACAGTTGGAGATCGGTTTCAGTATCCTTCGCAAACTTATCGTGATCGTCAAAAGCTGCATGCGTATTTATCATAATCATTCTTGCTGTAATTTCGAATTTGTCTATCAGCGTATATATTCCATGGACTCATGTCAGTGTTCAATTAATGATTTTGATCTTTGTACGGTCAACACTTGACTAACACCAATTGGAATTTCTTAAAAATAGCAAAAGCTTAAAGTCTCTTGATGTTCCAGCAATGGTCTTGCGAAATTAATACCCCGGCCAAAGATAGGTGACAAAAATTTCTGTCGTTCATGAATTACTAAGGAGCAGTCAGAAGAGATGATATCTCAAATTTAAAAAACTTTTTTTACATCTGTCACGCCAATCTTCAAGTTCAAGTTACTACTAAAACCTGAGTGTACCCGGACCCAGTGCCGGTTACGTGTCACCGACTCGAACAATACCCACCATCAATTCAATTTTGATTTTGAGTTTATGAAAATGAGATAAGTGTGTAGGTTTTCGGTTCAAATTTCGGCATAGCCCATTGCTTTTTAACCTACTAGTTAGATGTTATGCTCTCCTGAATTATAGAAATTAATTTACTTTTCTATTGTTATTATTTTTATGTAGCATATGCTATTCATTAGAAAAATAGGCTTTATTTGAACGGTTGCTCATCAGGTCTTTTTTTTACTAATACTTTATAACTTACTAAGATTTTATTTATTCCTTTCATAATATCATCTTGGAGTTTAAAAGTGACCACAACCTTTCTAATTTGCCATCACGTTCAGACGAGTGTTTGTTGCGTCTTTTTGAGTTGAGGAGGAAAAGAGCTCTCCTGCATTTAGAACACTTTGCCCAATCGAAAATCGAATAATCAGAAAAACAAGATAATCGGGTATGTAAATATTTTCCTTAGACGGTTTTAATTAAATATTTGTTTGAATTTGTTCAATTTCGATCTCCCTGTAACCTATACACCATTGGGACGAGACGTCAATCTAAATAACTTTAATTTTTAAAAGCCAAAGTAAGAAAGGTTACAGAATTATCATGATAATTTTTTTAAATATCATAACATATATTTTATTTATGTGATTTGTCATATTTATTATTTTATATTTAAACTGATTTTATTGTATGATTTATTTATTATGTAACTGTCTGATTTCTGCGTCAGTGTAGAAAAAAGCGAGAACCAAAGGACAATTTACAGTGAAATCCTACTTGCCAGCATAATTTTGTAGGAGAAGGTTACACTGTATTAACATATATTTCGGAAAGTTTGATTGAAATTTTCTTTTTACTATTAATAAAATAAATAGAAAATCCCAAGTTGAAAATCTCACAAATAATGAAATACGTCAAATAATTTTTATTCTACCATTGTTAAAACTTAAAATATTTGTTTGATATTTTATGTTATTAATTATTTGTCCATTTAATCAATTTTATGGCATGAGTAATGGTGGACTAGATCGATACACGAGGACTTCAGACAAAAAGAGGATCCCATGACCTACGATATCTGACAAATTTTCGGCAAAGTGTAGTAAATGAAATGTGAGCTTATATTTTTACACCACATATTATCAAATTACTTTGTTAACTTATTTTTATCATACGAGAAATGAACAGAAATGTGAAATAACTTCAATTTATCATAATTCTTAATGATAAATTGGTTTAAAAAATTATATTACATATTTATCGTTATATAATTTTCAAATAATAAAATATTTATCTGATGCATAAACAAATATTCCATTAAAAAAATAATTAGTTGAATCATCCATAGCCTATTTAGCATTCCACTGTGTTAAACTTAACTGCAGACTAAAAGCGAAAATGGGCGGTACAAATATGTACGTTTGTGGGCTGATAACTTATTATTTGTTTAGCTTATTTCATCGACTCTTTTAAATTAATATGTATTAAATTGAATGAACAACCATGGTAGATGGTCTAACGTAGTACGTCTCCAGACTATAACCGAAGTTCAGTGGACAATATGTGGTCACGCTTCTCGGGGAAATTCATAGAAAATAAGGTCTAATAAACATAATTCTGTTTGTTTTGGGATCACTTCGATCCTTCATTGTCGTAGGTTTTGCCAGACGGTAAAAACCGCGGATCGTTGACTTGCAGTGCGATGACTTTCAGTCTGTTCCACAACACGTGGAAGCCACGTGTGAAATCTTTGATTAGTCATAGCTATCCTGCAAGTATACATCGGTCAACTTCACACTTCCTCGCTTTTTCACTAACGGAGCAGTGTATTTAAAAATAATAAACGCTTCAAAACTGCCGTTATATCAAGGGCGTACAGTTTAAAAGAAATGATCAACAAATAAAATTCCATAAAAACGGTAATACTGCAGCAAGTCAATGATTTTATAAAAATTTAGAATTTTACATTATTTCTATTTACCCTTCCAAGAGCAACTATATTCTCATCTTATTGCGTTTATGTGTTTAAATGTTTTAGTGTACATTAAGCCACATTCATGTAATATATGAATTTAACATAATAACATAATTACAAAAAATACATTACAGGCAAAGATATAAATTGGAGATGTAGAAAAACGATGTAAATAAGAAGTATAGAAATTAGTTTGACTCGTTCGTGGCGTGGGGTTGCCCGGGGACGGGTGAGTTTGGGTGGTGCTGGACTGTGGGGTCCGGTGTCATAAGCGGCTTGGGCGTGTTTTGCCCCGGATTCTATGGGGATGTGGTCTTTTCCATGGTGTTGTAAATGGTTTTTATCCACATCCCCGAAAATGGAAACCGTATATAGGCCCCAAAAAGAAATAAATATGTATGAGTGCTGGTCCCCTTAGGCAGGCTTGGGCATTCTCCCGCTTTCCGGCTGCACCTTGCTTGCCCCTTCGGGCTTCCACATGCTGCGAAGGAGGGAGAAGAAGAAAAAGAAATGGCGGATGCTCAAACGGCGATGCCAAAAAAAAAGTCTAGAAAGAGAGAAAGAGACAGAGTATGAAGAAGAAAGAACATACTTAAAATATTGAAAGAGAGAAAGAGGGAGAGAGAGAAAAAAAACAATAGAGAGAAACAAATAAATAGAGAAAAAGAAAACGTAAGAAAAATTTAATAAATAAAGAAAGAAAGAGGGGGAGAGAGAGAGCGTGAGAGAGAGATAGAAAAAGTGAGGGAGAGGGAGAGAATAGGCTAGAACAGAAAACTTAAGAAAAAGCAAATAAATAGAGAGTGAGAGTTAAAGAAAGGGAGAGTGAGAGAGAGGAAGTGCGAGAGATAGATAGAGAGAGAGAAAGATAAATAGATAGATAGAGAGAGAGTGAGAGAGAGAGTGAGAGAAAGAGAGAATGACGATAGAATATGTAGATAAATAGAGAGAAAGAAAAGAGGGAAACAAATAAAGACACGTAAAAAGTAAAGGAGAAAGTAAGAAAGAAACTGATAAAGAAGTAGACAAGGAGTGACAGAGAAAATAAATTAAATATACAAATTTGATTGATTGGGAGAGTCAGATAGATAGATAGATAGATAGAGATAGCGAGAGATAGCGAGAGAGAGAGAGAGAGGGAGAGCGAGAGAGAGAGAGAGAGAGCGAGAGAGAGAGAGAGAGAGTGAGTGAGAGAGTTTACTTCAACTGATCACAACAAAACATCCCGAAGAATCGAGAACACGAGCATGTGACCCCTCAAACCACTTTGATGATCGATTGCACCTGGCAGATCTCAACAATCGATCTAAAAACCGTCAAAAATCCTGCAAAAAAGTTCACCAAAGGATATCCTATCAACTTAATGATTTTAATACATTTAATTTTAGACTTATCTCACCGCAGTACTTTTTGATACATTAAGTCCCTGGCTATTACGCCCAAACGTCTCGATGTTCAAGTTGCATAATAATCGTGTCAAAGGCTGAAATTGCCAACATTTATCATGCTAGCGTCATTTTTATCATGTTTAGCGCTACTGTTGTTAAAAAATAAATAAAGTTAGATCTATTTATACAATCACTGACCATTCTTGACCTCTGCGATCATTTTAGTACGGGTTAATTTTGAAGTTTTTAATTCTGCTTATATTTTAATAAATTTTGACTGATTATTACACAAACAAACTATACCGCTATAAATCGATAAAAATATATTTGATTTCCACAAGGCTGGAAATGTTGACAAAATTTTCAATCAGTGAGCCATTTTAATATTATTTGAATGGAGCTGTATTGATTAAACGCCAAAGGGACGATGAGGATAAAGCCGTTCGGTCACGATTTCTATTAGCAGCTCCAATTTATTACTCAATGAGGATGACTTGACTGTAGTAATCACCGGCATCCTAAGCCCTACGACTTCAGCTGAACGTCGCAATTGTGAAGTTTGCCCTTCAGCTAGTCGTGAAAAAGAACCTTTATACGGTTCAAATTTGAAAGGGGTTTCATTAAACACTATCAGCGTATGTTTACAGTTTTAGAAAAACCGTTATAAACTGGCCGAAGAGCTATTGACCCCGTGCCACTGCTTGTAACATTATTGGAAATAATCTTGTACTGCCACAACAACAAATTATCAATCTAGATTGTCAAAAATAAAGTTTTCAAATAATAATTCAGTTTTTTATATGGACCAATCGATCTATTTACTTTGCTAACGATGTATCGATAACGGTATGCGCTTGTCCTGTATCGACCGAATAAGTAGTCATGGGAACGGTCATGATGGAGGCAGAGGTAAGATGCTCTACAACATATGTATATCATGGTTTTCTTCTGTATATCCACATATACAGAATAAATACAACCTAAATCGTTATGATTTAAAAACGAACCTTCCATTAAAAGAACAAAGCCACTTTTAATTCTTGAAATTATGCCTAAATTTGTTGCGCTTAGTACAAAGAAGAAAATGTGATAGGCAGTAGTTGCTTACTGACCTAGTAACGCGAAATTATTATTTTTCACGACAATAAAATTACATAATTAAGCTAATAGATTAATCTAAAATACATATTTTTTATACAATAGCTTAATGCTACCAATTATGACTTTTGTGAATAATTGGAATTATGTCAAAACAAATAGAAAACGCAGGTTATTGTCAATTTATTTAGGCTTTCTATTTATTATCTGTGCTATATTTTGTACAAACTTTAGCTAGGTAAAAACGGGACACTGATCAGAAAAACATCATCAACAAATACAAAAGCCAAAATTCATCATCATTTTTTGCTATTTGGTTAAATTGTCAATGACTGTAGACATAGATATTTTATAATTGTTGATAGGCTACACTCCTTTCAAGGATTAAAATTACATTTTCTATTTTGATTTTATAATTTTTTGAAATAAAACTCAAATAAGTCAAAATTTGGTAGTGCTGCTTCAACATCTCTTAACAATTACAATCATTTAAAGAAACTAAATTAGTCTAAATAATCCTATAAGTTAAATTAAGTAACATTTGACAGTAGTTACAATGCATCTATTGGCTATACAATTTAGATTTATATTCCTTTCTTTCTAATTACAGTTGGAAGATCTTAAATTATCTAGGTTCTAAAAAGGGATTCTGACCCCAACGGGTAGTTGAACTTTAAATCCTCCTGTGAATTACTTTACTCTTCACATAATGTTAATCATGACCAATAATGTTGAACATAACTGTTAATCCTACATCTCTACCAATGTTTTGACTTATATATTTTCAAGAACTAAAAATAAAAATAAATTAAATAACTTGTAAATTACTTTTCCGTTGTTTGATTAAATATCAAAGATTTACCAATAATGTTCAAACTTAAATAAACCTCTTCTTTTTAATGAAACCCAATTTTTTTCTAAAATTTCAACAAAAATATTAATTATTTTTTCCAATTTATGAGTAACTAATCACAAGACAGAATAAGAAAATAATATTGTATCCAAGTAGATTAATAATAATCTGGTTTATTACAGTAAGAAATAGATTTTTTTTAATTCTTTGTCTAACGTTTTTAACCTAGGTCAAGGAAGATGAACGTTATTTTTTATATAGAAAATTTTAATCACTTATATTTTTTAATGAGTTTGATAATTCTTAAAAAAAACACTTATTCTTTGTTTTTAGCCAAAGTATCGTGATACCCATTATTACAAACTTAATTAACGATTAAAACATAGTTTTTCGTCATTTATGACTAATTGTCTATTCGTATCACCTAACAAAATTCTTTTACTTAATTTGATAAGATTTTAAAACGAATACATTGACACCAGTCAAAATTTGAAGTTGGGGGGGTTTGCAAAAGTAATTATAAGTTGAGTATATGGTGTTTTTGTTTTATAATCGAATTTTTTATCGAATGTTTTATAATGAAAAGGCCACCGCGCGCCGACAGAACAATAATCAGATCAGGAAATCATTATCGACTGGAGCAAAGGGATACAATGCGATCTTAAACGGATAACAGAAAGTATTTGTAGACAAAAGGGTCCTTTATCATCCATTCCGGCCAAATCTGACACTGAGAGACGGTTCAAAGTCAGGTCATTGGGCTCGACCTGGTGACTCCGAGTGAGTAGTTGAGATGTGGCCAAAATCCCAATATCTGCATTACACTTTTGCCATTTTATTCATATGATTATGAAAAACTTTGAACTTCAATTATATTATCGTTCCTTTACAAAAATCTCTTTTTAACTTGAACAGACTGAAAATTTATATTTATAAATCAATTTCATACAAAACCTACTTAATTATATTTTTTCTTTCAAAAAGGATACAACTTCACTAAAAATTAAAACATAAATATTTAATATTGGTAATTAATTGTGTGTAATAATACTATTAATGGTATCTATAATATAACTGTAAAAATCTTTGAAGTAAATTTTTAATATATATATTAAAATTTGGAATACAGTCAAGTTGCTTCACAGAAAAATTTCCAAGACAAAATAAATTGGTGTTCAGAGCAAAAAATAAAACCAACCCTTTTTTTTGTAATTTTAATTAATAAAATGCTATGAATTGAGGTGTAACTGTAAAACATCACATACCTTCTTATTCTAATGTTCAGATAGTTTTGCATGTTGAAAGTGATTTTTTAAATGGAAGCTTTCTTTTTGATATCCTATGTCACAAATCAAGTGTAAGGACAAATAAAAGAAAAGGACAGAGTCATAAAGATTTATAGCTCAATATCAGTGATCGATATAGAAAAAGATTTATTAAGAAATTAAAATTTTGGGGTGCGGGTGTGTTTTTGTGTGCGTGCGTGCGTGCGTGTGCGTGTGCGTGTGCGTGTGCGCGCGCGCGCGTGTGAGAGAGAGAGAAAGAAAAGGGAAAGAAAACGGAGAGGGAAATCAGATAATTGATACGTAAAGACATTAGGATATTTATGAAAATGTGAGAGAGCGAGGTATATTGTAAACGTGGAATCAAATATAGAAAGTAAAAAGGGAAAAAGATATTAGAAATATTGTCAGACAAAAAAAATGTGCGTGTATATCTGATAGAGAAAGGAAGGGAGAAAAGAGAGAGAGTGAGTGTGAGAGAGAGAGAGGGTGAAAGTGTCTGAGTAGAATGAAGATATTAGCTAAATTAAAATATTAGCGAAAATAAGTAATAGAATAATAACAGTAGGTTGGAAGAGATTACAGCATTGTTGAAAGAAGTGTGAGTGGTAGAGAGTGAGAAATATAGATATAGGAGGAATCTGTATATATATGTGTATATATATACACACATATATCTGTTATATCTCGCTCTATCTATCTATCTATCTATACTTGTCTAGACGAGATTCGTGTTTTCACAAAAGATGGAAAGTAGAGTGTGAAGCAGCGAGAGTTCGCAAAACGATATTGAACGATAAATATAGGAAAAGGGTTAGAAGGAGTGTGAAAAATGAGAAAGAGAGATAAGGAAAGATAGAGAATAAAGGTTGTTGGATTGAAGAATTTGGAAAAGAAAAAGCGAAAATAAATAGAGTTTATAGATATTCAAATAGAAAGATAGTGTGAGAGAAAGAAAAAAGGCTTTAAATATAGGTAAAAAAGAGATTCTTATTATATTATTCAGTTATTAATCTTATTATCTGAATGAGATTCGAGTTATTATGTGAATAGAGAGTGGAGTGTTAGTTAGAGCGTAAAGGAGGGAAAAGAGATAGGGTAAATTAAAAAAGAAAAAGAGAGTGCGAGAATGTAACAGATAAGTAAAACATAATGAAATGAAAAAGATAGAAATCAAAAGAAGAGGAAATGCATAAAACCTAATAAACTTAACAAAAAATAAATTTATTTAGCCAAATATAGAGGTAATCGTAAATATGGTAATAATAAATAGTATGAATTATCTAACTATTTATGATTTTATTACGAATAGCAAATGTTCAATTTTCAAAAATGCATATAATCCTTGCTGTCCTCATGAGGCTAATGACCCCTTCAGCAGAATACCTGTTGTGATTTATAATCTTTTAAATAGAGGGCAAGATACCAATTAGAAGAAAATTAATCAAAAGCTATCCATCATACACCCACTCTTATATTGAGTAATGACAGTTTTTTTTCTTTCATGATTACGTCTTTGTTCGTGCGAAACGTTAATTTTGCGAGATGGCCCGACCGTTAAATGCTCGAACACATTCAAGAAATATCAACGGATAATTGTCAACAAAGCGAGATGTTACGTGCCCCGAGGAAACCCTTTTTATCCAGACAGACGTCATTGTCCTATTATTTTCACAATGCCAGATCCGTTACCGGACTGTGACTATTCCTTTCTGCTGTAATGATAAACCGATGGTTTTCGACACTGACCTTCCTTGACACACCACTTAAATTTATCTCGGGTCAAATTATTCATCACTGGTGTCGTGCATAAAAGTCAGAAATGAAAAACTTTGAAAAGAAAAAAAACTATGCGGTTTCTTCTGGGAAAACGTTCAAGGAAGAGATGTCGTAGATGGATCCGTCTTGGGGGCCTTTAAGAAGAGGTCTTTTCAATGGAAAGACGCTCTGGTGGCAAATTGATTTTCAAACGCACCTTGACATTCGCGACAATCCCATCATTATCTCCATCTGATTTAAGAATCTATTGAGCCGGCGGATTCGTCGCCCTCGTCTGCACCGTTGTCGGAGACCACGTCCGCTATTGTCAAATCCACAATTATTCGAAATCCGTACAGGCAAAAATAAAATGTCGCCAAAAATAATCATTACGATATTTTACCGTTCAAAATAAAAATAAAATTGATATTCTACTTGATACTTCAGTATTATTGTTTCTAATTTATATTGGTTGTCACTAGATGATGCAGTCGCCTCCGAAAGAAAATGGCCAACGACATGACCTGGGTAAGATACAAGGTTCGTTTTAGCCGTAATAATTTATTGGATCGATTTCCATTCTCATTTCAAGAAAGCGGACTGGAAGAGATGACAACGGCCGTAGAAGAAACATTTGTGGAAAATGGAAGCACCAAGGATGCCCAGAGTTCGAACAATAGCGCCCTATCTCCCAACGCGTCCATAGAAGACGAACATTTGCAAAGGTAAAATAATAAAATGATTAATCGTTTAATGTTGGGCAAAAATTTTTGATGTATAATATAGGAAAAGGGACCGCAGTGGCCAAGTTCCTACTTATTTTACCACATCGGTTATAACCCCGGGATAGCCCATGAAATTTTAATTGAGAATAATTTAGAAAACATTGTAGTTTGACCATTCCTTGACAACCAACTGGCCATTGGACGTTAAGCTCCATGTATGACAGGTATTACTTTACTGCAATGTAAATGAAAAAGTCCAAACGAAACATTTATCCCAACTCTTCTATTCAATAAAATCAAAGGATAATAACAAACAATAATGTTGAACCGGCACAAGGCCACTACTGGGTCTGTCTTCACTAGCGGGTTTTTTGTTTGAGTTATTCAAACGCGTTTCGGCATTACGCCATCTTCAGTGAGAAACTGTCGGTCATTTTGTACGAGTACGGTTTATATATTATTGGGTCCGTCCTATGTAAATCGTACTCGGACAAAAGGACAGACAGTTTCTCACTGAAAACGGCGCAAAGCTGAAATGTGTTTGAATAACTCAAATAAAAAAACCCACGAGTGAAGACAGACCCAGTAGTGGCCATGTACCGGTTCAACATGAATTCACCGACTCGCCGACCAAAACCCAACATCTACAACAAACAATAATATAATATATATGAACTTGAATTTTTATGTTCAACAAAATTTGGAAGAAGTACATAAAATGATACTTAAAAGATCAGAAAAACTCAAGAAAGTATACAATCACAACATATATGAAAAATATTTAAAATTTTATATGTTAATTATTTACAAAGTGACAATTTCTCAACTTAAAATTTCGAAGGGTGAGTGATTGTTAAGATCTTTAAAATCATTTATCCTCTAAAAAGGCTGGCAAATTATCTGAACGGTTTGCTATGGTTGAGACGTGCTGTAAAAACTTTCGCAGAGAAATACGACTTTTCTATTTGTGTTAGTAATCTAAAATCTAAATTTAAAAGTCACATCTAAAATGAGCCAACAAAAAAAGACATTTTTCAGTATATCATTGGCAGACTTTCAAGAAAATTTGTCTATAGCACAATGTCTCCATAAAAATGCTACAATCCGTTTGAAATTTTCTTCAAACAAAAATTATTTGATAAATGAAGTAATAAGTAAAGTAAAGCTGGTTAATGGTTTTTAATGATGAGAAAATGCCTTTTTGGTTACTTTAAGAACAATCATCAACGACACCAGGCAGGCTAATAACAATATGTCAAATGAAAATCGGAGCTTTATTCTACATCAGGACCCACAAGCACGCACAGACACGCACACATACACACTTTCGTTCATTCTTTCACTTTATATTTTTCTCTATCTGTTTCTATCTTACTCTTTCTCTCTCTCTCACTCTCTCTCTCTCTCTCTCTCTCTCTCTATCTATCTATCTATCTATCTATCTATCTCTCTATCTCTATCTATCTATCTATCTATCTCTCTCTCTCTCTCTCTCTATCTATCTATCTATCTATCTATCTATCTATGTATCTATCTATCTCTATCTATCTATCTATCTAACTATCTATCTCTTTCTATTTATCTATCTCTCGCTCTCTCCATTTTTATTTGTTTTGTTAATACTCTCTTTCTTCTCTCAGTCTACTCCTGAATCATTTTCTTTCATACTTTCCGTCTATCCGTCTGTTCGTCTATCTATGTAATGTTGCTAACTGCCTATCTCTCTCTTTCTCCATCTTTCCCTCTCTCACTCTCTGTCCAAATTTGCGGGACTTTTTAAGTATAACTATATTTCTTCCTTCGTTCATTCTTCCATCAAATTTGATTTTATTAGGACATTTACCATACATATATGCAAATAGACACTCAAATTCGTACATATTCTGATATATTTATTTACTCACGCACTCTGACTGCGGCTAGATTGGACTTCATCCATAGATCACTTTGCACTAAATCATGGTCGATTTTTTTTTCCACAAACCAACCAAACTCAACCAAATACCATCCCTTATGAACCGTTTAATTTATGGCAGTTTCAAAAAATAGTTCTTAATGAAGAGAAATAAAAACGTTTGCATGATCATTGCTGTCATATTTCTTTGATGACGCGGCGAAAAATATTCTTGAGCGTGCCAGCACAATTACATTATTCATATATACAAAATTTAGGTCAATGCATGTAGTAAAAACTTTACTGGTTAAGGTCAAAAGATGAAATATCTCTGAATAGTTGGATGAAACGTTAAATATCTTAAGGATTAATTATTTAACAGTCTGTAAGAACAAAAGCATTAGTGGATAGTTTTGAATATGTGCGTACACGTTTAAACGCTTAATTATTCGTTAACACAGGATTTACAGCGAACGTGAAGAACTAATAGGACGAAGATTCAGGCATTTGGCTAGATCATTCAGGGAAAGAACTCAGAGAGTGAGAAACCGATTTGAACTACCGCCAACGCCTTCGACGGTCAGTTCTGAGCCAGGTATTGAATTTGACAATATTTGTACTAATTTGACGTGCTAACTAGTTGATTAAACTCCTTTGAATTAGACGCTCATATTTCGATCAATAGATTAAGTTTATACAAGGTAAAAATCAATAGATATAACTAGCGTTATCAGTTTGTACTTCAATAACCGAACAGTTAGTTAACAAGTAAAGCCATCGTAAATACAAATTTATACGTCGAGTGATTTTCAGTGAGAAGTCGCGGTGTCATTATTTATGAAAAGTTTATTGACCCGCTGTCAAGTGTCGTATTGACTGTTTGTGGACACAATACGGCGTTTTAAGGCCGGCGAAGCTCTCAAGGGCCGACTCGGCGCAAACTATTTGAAAGTCATCTACCTTCCGTGGGCGCCGATACCACGACCACCGTAACGGTCTTGGGGGCCCCGTTCGCCTATTTTGTATTTTCGACAGCCGGAAACGTTTGTTTATTTATTTATTTTGCAGAAGACACGAGCTGCAAGGCAGTCAGCTCAGCGGCGAGCGGTACGGCGAGCGGGTCGCAAATTATGCATAGCTTGTCGAAGGAGTGGTCTTCGGATGATAACGTCGAATCCTCAGGTGCTGTGGTGGAACCTCAAGGTATAGTAAATATCAGTTGTCTAATTAATTTTAGTTTGAAATGAAAAACGCACACTCATTTTTAAAAGAATATAAAAATGCCGACCATTCCAATCGCTACTGTGTCCATCTAATTTACAATACTTGAAATATTTTACAGTAATTTTCGTCCTTTTTTTAAACTTTTTATTTCAATTCATTAGATTTTTATTTCTGAAATCCTAAGAATTATGTGATATCATCTTACTATCTTCATCGACTCCCTTCATGACAACATTTTTATTATGTCAAGGTTGGTAATGAGCACATGAGTAATTCTTCAACTTTATATTTCAAGTAGTATTAAGTTTTCTTGTGTTTTGAATTTGTAGTGGTTCCTTCTCATTATTTTAAGAAAAGATCATTTATTCAATTTAATTGTCTAGGTCCATGTTAGTCTATTTCCTAAACTTATCATAAGCATTTACTTCCCCTAGTCCTATATTATTTTTATTTTTAGTAATTCCGTTTTACTTTGTGTATTCTAGCGTTTGTTATTGTTTGTTTGGAGTATTTTTTTTAACCAGATAATTGACAAATGTTAACAACAGGTTGAACGAACCTACCTAGTGAGCCACTCTGGCAAATTCTTTTTGACTTAAGACTGTTTCATCCACCTTTGCCCTTGCTTTATTGTCTGGACGGATTTCTTCCAGACCTCTCGTCCTTCAATTACTGAGAACAAAAACTGTTTGCAAATTCGTCATGGGACACCGTACTCTTTAAAAAACGTAAGCAATCTAATACAGTGTTTTTTTGGGCCACAATGTACAGCTCATTTCAAACTCTTAAAAGATTCTAATATGTCATACATGATCAATTTGGAAAATTTCTAGGATTAATTAAACATCATACACTTTTATCCCCAGAAAAAATAGAGAGCAGTACATTTCAAATAATATTTCATTCTTTCATGACTCAAAAAAAGTACTAGATAGTTCGAAAAAGCTTTTTTTAAATTATTTATTAACTTCGATCAAAATTTAATTGCTTCTATTTGAATATATTTGGAAACCATATTTACTCAGTTAATAAACCAACCATTAAATTGATTATACCTTAGCGTGACGATGCCACGTGGGGTGCAGGCCGAAGGTCGTACGTGCGTTTATCGCTATGATACCTTTTGTCGACGGAAAAACAACTCAATTACACTTTTATGTAGAAGACGTGTCGGAACTTTCTATTTCTGGTCATCATGATCAAGGTCGTATGATTATGTTTATTAGGCTGCCTCTATGTCACATGGCTGACAATGGTGACGCTCTCTTTCCTCTACAACTGTTTCGTCATCCCACTGAGGACGACCTTTCCCTACCAGACTCCGGACAACACAGTGACATGGTTGGCCCTCGACTACTCCATGGACGCCTTTTATCTCCTCGATATGGCTTTGGTCAAACCGAGGATAATGTACCTGGAAGACGGCTTCTGGGTTAGAGACGTCAAACTGACGAGAAGCAATTACATGCGAAAAACCGAATTCATCGTAAGACTTTCAATATATAAAAAAATATCAGAATTATAATTATGACATATTTCAGATGGACATAATGTCTTTAGTACCGTTAGACCTTCTCTACTTCTACTACGGACCAATATACCCTTGGCTACGTATACCTAGACTACTTAAGGTAAAAATAAAACAGTGATAACAAAATTGTTCAGGATGTTCTTTAACAAAAATAAATTCATTTCTAGATACACACTTTTTGGGAGTTTTTTAACCATTTTGATAAAGTCTCTCCGTCTCCTTACATCGTTAGAACTGCAAGGACTTTGACGTACATGATATACCTGGTCCATCTGAACGCTTGCGCTTATTACGCTGTCTCGGTGAATGAAGGTATCGCCTCGAATCATTGGGTCTTCAATGGTGTAGGAAACGCGTAAGTCCTCAGTACTTAACTAACTTAAACTTAACCATATACTATACATTCAATTTCATTGATATGAATAAAAGTTTTCATTATATACGTTTCTCAATTATTTGTTTGCTATAAAAATTTGTGCATAAGGGATTTTAAGGGTGCTTAAAATTAATCCATTTCTTTATCATTCCTTCTCACCTATTTGACGTCCAACCTCATTATCCACGATCTAAAAGGTTTCTGAGTTGTCGATACTAACTGCTCTAGAGATTAAAGAATATTGTTTGAGTGCGTTCATAGATCTAGCACAGGTTTTGACATGGTCTGAAGTACCCGGGTCTACTTTATAAACTTAAACGCTTCCTATCCACTCCTTATTACCTATCGTGGAATCTGGACCTATCCTGTCTAACTGATCGCTGAACGTTCAGAGTGACGTGCGGCAACGAGTTCTGGGAAGTCGGATAAGTATTGTTATATCTGTATTTGCAAATCTGCGTCCTAAAAGAGAACATTCATGGTCCCATCCTTTATTACGTTTATGCTGATGATCTACCTATACATCCTAATACCACCTACGCTGACGACACCACAATTTTGTCTTCTGTCTCGAATCAGATCCAAGCTACCTCTAACATTTAAGAACGCCTTATCGAAGACTGTTGCATAGAGTGGAGGGCAAGACTGAATGAAGAAAAATGTACTCAGTGTACGCTCGCGTAGAAAAATCAGTCTTGACCTCCATTGTACATCAATAACATATACCGACTTCCATTCAAGTCAAATACTTAGGGCTGTACCTATTACTGCATGCCCTGGAACCCATTAGAGTGTAATCTTGTTTTGCACTCGTGTAACCTAATCTGTTTAATTTAGTTTGCAATGCAGCACGATCCTTAAGCTACCGATGTTTGAGTTTAATGTGGCTGCCCGGCCCCCTTTATTCAAATCGAACTGAGTACATCTCTCATTTTTGGATTTTGGCTTGACAAATACTGTGTAGACCCATGGGCTCGGAGTATTTGGTTTTTGGCTCCTGTACCTTGCTTTCCACAACAAAGAAATACCGACTTTAATTCAAGTCAAATACTTAGGACTATATGTAGACAGCAGACTGTCGTGGAATGTCCACACTTTAGAGACAAAATTAATAGAAGCTTTGGGCGACTATGAACACTTCTAGGACTGAAATTCGCCTTGACAATCAACACTAAACTAGCTTTATACAGGACTTACTACGACCACGTTTGATGTACAGAGTGGAACTGTGGGGTTCTGCCAGGCCATACAACATCCAGCTTATTCAATTCTTCCCATCATAAGTCTTCAGACAAATCGTCAAAACACCTTCTACGTTACTAGTATTTTTATCGTAATTATACCTAGGTTTATAACTATAATAATAAATACCTAAATAGTTAAAAGAAATAGATCATTCTAAAATATTAAAGTGAGGTGGTTAAATTGACTACTTTTCCAATCAATTGCGTATTAAATAAGAATCATTTTACACTCGTTTTTTATAAGTAATCAGCCTTATTTAAAGGTACATCCGGTGTTTTTATTTTGCTGTCAAAACTGCTACGTCTATTGGAAAAAATCCTAGGCCTGAAAACGAGGCAGAGTATCTTTTTATGACTGCATCGTGGCTAATGGGAGTCTTCGTTTTTGCCATTCTGATAGGCCAGGTACTAGATTGCTCAATAACCAAAACAAACAGTAATTTTTCAAATTACTTTTATTAATTATAGATAAGAGATATAATAGCAACGGCAACTAGGTCTCAGACGGAATACAGAAAGCTTATGGATGAGACACTCCACCATTTGAGAAAATTAAACTTGCCGCCTAGACTACTTGAGAGGGTCAAAACCTGGTTTTCCTACACATGGCAGCAACAGCACACTTTAGGTCAATTGAATTTATATTTAAAATTCACCCTGGGATAAATATTTTATTTATTAGATGAATCGAGAGTCTTGGACACTCTACCGCATAAAATGAAGACTGACGTAGCCATAAACGTCCATATACAAACTCTCAATAAAGTTCAGCTTTTTAAAGACTGCGACGAAGCTTTGTTGAGAGAACTTGTTTTAAAGTTAAGACCAGTTTTATACTTGCCGGGTGATTATATTTGTCGTAAGGTAATAAACTGGGTTTCACGATGAATTTGTTTTGATTCGATTTTGTTTTAAGGGAGAAGTAGGAAAGGAGATGTATATAGTGAAGTCGGGACAGGTGCAAGTCGTGACTGGGATCGATGGCTGCGAAATATTGGCAACATTGACTGAAGGGTCGGTTTTTGGAGAAATATCCCTTTTGGCGATTTCTGGAGGGAACAGAAGAACTGCTGATGTCAGGTAATTTTTATTACCTTGTCTCTAACTATTAGTTACTATTTATTTTTTAAGGTCTAACGGTTATTCAAATCTGTTCGTTTTGAGCAAGGATGATTTAAACGAGGCCTTACAGTTTCATCCGACAGCGCAGGAGATTTTAAAGAAAAAGGCTAAGTAAATTCTTCGCTTTTTGTATTGGTAGCAAAAACTAAAATACGTCAATTTTAGAAATTTGGTGAAGCAAAATTTGGCTAGAGAAAGGAGGACGAGGGCGGAAGTGTTGATCAAAAACCCAGACCCTGCTCGTAGACAGCCAAAACTTCTACCTATTGTCATGAAGGTTCGAAAAAACATACATGTTTGGGTGAAACTAACTACAAAATTTAAAACTGGTTAAAGGTTTTACCACCGGATTCAGGACCTGCCCGCCTGTTGAAATACGGATCGCGTTGCGGTTCGAGGGGAAGAAATAGGAGGTTGAATACAACTAACAATGACTTTCACTACAGAGAGGTAATAAAATTAAACTTATTTATCAAAAACAAATTTGATTAACCTAATAACTTGTAGAAGTCCACTGGTGGCACTTACTTTTCATATTTCAACTAAGAACGCGTGATTAGACTGTTTATACTTTTGTATAACATAATAACTCTACCATTTACAACATGCTAAAAGAATATAGGTACAAACGGAAAAAAAAGTGAAAAACTAATTTTAACACGAAGAATAACTCCATGGCCAATCAAACACATGTACAAATTTACCTACGTTTAATTTTAGCCTTTCAATCAGGAAAATGTACGAAACTGGAAAAACCATTTACTTTTCCGGGTCTGTAGGACAAGCTAGAGTCCGATGCGAAACCTGGAACTAATGTGTGCATTACATCAGGATTGAGCTTCCTATTGAGACATTTAAGCCAAGTTCAAACTATTCACAAATTCTGCCCACTCCGGAGCGGTTCTTTCATAGCAGGACCAATTTTATGAAATCCTCCATCCCTATTCAACAATGGGCATGATGTGTCCAATTTCCATACCCAATCTATCTCGAACATCTCTCGTGCCCACTGCATACATTCAAGTTCGTATAGGACGCCATCCATCGATTAAACCAAAATTACCGAGCCTTCTGTTTTCTCCATTCAGCTGAGGTACGAGAGAAAATCCTGTGTCCAGTTAATAATTTAGTAAAAAAATAGTCGACCACCTCCGTACCCTTTTATGCTTAGACAGTACGAATTTGTATCAACCTTGCTGTCCATCTACCGCACGAATTGAAAAGTAACCTCTTTTTCCAATTATGAGAGACATAATTTTTTCACTTTTTTGCCAACTCTTCACCAAGGGCACCCGTGTGATCGTAGATCCACATTCTCTACAGGGACGTTAGACGAATAGGGATTACTCCCGCTATCATTAAGTCTTCTAGTTCACAACCAGTGTAGAAGCTTGTTATTCGGAAAGACCTCCTCCGTTGTTCAGCACTTTTACTTCCGATATTTACCTCTTTTTAAAGCTCCTTACCTTCCTTAGCCCTTACCTTAAACCTGTAGCATGACTGAGTGGCAAACCGATATTAGAAGACGACGAAGGCACCATAATATTGGTCAATTAGGCTAAGGAGAGTCATTTTGATTTTAGAAGCCTTTTCCCGATGCACCCCGGACTTCTAAATATTTTACTGTGGCCTTTGTAACTAAAGGAGCTTCAACAACAAGGTAATCAAAAATAGTGGAAATACACCGTCGAATTAAAATTACCAAAAAAGTACGCATGGATTGAATCAACTAAGAGTTCCTACATGTAGGGTTTTAATTTCAACAAAAACATATTTTTTAAAGCATTTTCGAGCTTTACTTATTCTTCAGAAATGTTTAGGGTCAAAAATAATTCCTGGAGGAATAAATGAACAAATAAATAAATAGGCGATACAAACAAACCTGATTCTTTTTGTTGAAATTAAAACCCTAAACACCAGATGTGTTCACAACAACCAAGAAATATAGATGAAAAAAGAAGTGAGTTGACATTTTATTATTAATTTAAGACTATTATCAACATATTAAACTTCCAGTATAGTTAGCTTTCCGTTTTCGCTCAATTTCTTTGTTTTAATTGAAAATTTCACACACAACACTCTAGCGTATTGCGGTATTGCATTCTTTACAGGGAACGGCGAACAATCTGTTGAATTGACGCGAAAGTAAAACAAAAAGTTATTTATGCTACATTGCCATTTTTGTTTATAAATTTAGTCTTTTAAAAACTAAATTATGTATTTTCAATGTATTGTTTATATTATATTTATTATGATTTCTTAAGAACGATGTCTGTAAATGTCCAACATCCGTTAGTCTCAACAAGACCTAGAATTCTGATATATACCTTTCCCCAAGTGGCTTTACATTAAAAGTTATTTTGAAAAATTGTTACAATTGAAAAAAAATTATACAATACTTACAACGGGAAGCAATGAACGTTAGATCACCAATTTCTATACAATTTTCTATAATTATACTAAGTAGAAAAATATTAGACGCGTGTCCCAGCATTCTTGCCAATGGGCTTTAGAAATCGAGAAAAAATATTTTAAATAATTTAATTGTTATATACATAAATATCATTCGATTCATTTTTTAAGCAGGATAAGAAAATAATATGTAAGATTAGAACTAAATGAGGTTAGATAAATAAAGTTACAAATGCCATAAAACGCCTCCAGTAAAGTAGCTTTCAAAAATTATAAAAAACGAATCGGATTCGTCTTAATCACCATTTAAAGCCACTTAACATGATCTTTTACAGCAAACATACAAATAGACATATTTCTCGCTGGATTCGATGTGGGCAATTTTTATCGCCGCTGTCCTGTATTCCACTTAAACATTCATAGCTTCACTAGATTTTGTCCAAATTAGACATTTATACAACCTTTGGAAAGCAGAATATTTAATTTTTTTAAGCTATGTCAACAACGGTTAGAAGTGAGTTAAATAAGGGCCTAGCTGTATAAGGGAGCCGAGACATTTATGCCATTATGTGTCGTAGATCGGAGGCCTTTACAAGATGAAACTTTTATGGAAAAAATTATTTTTTGTTTTTCCCAAAAATTTGAGTTCTTGGATTTTTGGGAGTGCAAAAAATGTCTATCAGCTTGCTTGCAGACATAATATTTTGGTCTACTTTGTTAATTCCCTCGTTCCCAAATTATGTATACCGATGCTATGACTATCTGCCAAATGAAATTTTGGCGCAGTAACCGAATGACAGCAAAATAGATTAAAATATGATTTACAACTTATTTATCAGTTGAATATTTGAATATACAGCAATATAAATCTCGAAAAGTATAGCTTGACATTAATAAATTGCTTTAAAGAAGAAAAATCATAATAAAATTGATTTTGTTTATAACTTCTTAAAACACAAATATAAGTTAGTCAGTTTGAGATTTTTTTGTAAAAATTAACTAGCAATAAACTAAATTTGGAAAAAGGTGTCACCGTCAAGCATCTGAATCACTGTTCCATTTTCTGAATTCTTTTGTTACTGATGAATGGAGCTAATTTGTTGAATTAAACGTCCTCTATCATTTCCACTTTAAACAAAGGTGGAATTATGTTGAAATGGTTATACAATGATTATGACTGTTGAACTTTTGTTATTTGATAACACGATGAATTTGTTTTTAGAAAATGCCAACAAGGTGCCAATCTTTAGACCTCGGTATGCTGGGATTTCTAGACCGAGAGGACCGGCTGGAGAAAGACGAATCGACATTCCAATGCAACGTGACTGTGCATAGAGAAATGAGCAAATAGGCAGGCCATTAGGCTCTAATGGCCAAATCAAAATCTTTTTTGGGATAGACCAATTAGCAAAAATTCTCTATCGAGTCTCTTCACATATTTAAGTTGCCATATAGATACATGATTAATTTATTTTTTTACTTATTCAAAACAGGAAATAATTATGACTTTTACAAAATAAAACTAGTTTATTCACGTTTGTTGTTACTCACGATTTCCCCCACTTTTGTTATAGTTATCTTTGTAAACGTTTTAATATATTTTAATGAAACATGGAGAAGGTATAGAATGTACATAAAAATTATAAACATTTACTGATTCAAAACTTAACAATAACAAGTGCAAAAAATTACTTAGTAATAGGCAATGTGGTTGGCCAATGTGGTTCATGGTGGGAAACACTTTAGAAATTGTTGATAATTACATAATTGTGACTTTTAGTAAATAGAATTTTAGTGTTTTCTATTATCAGCCACCGTGCTGGTCCTGTACTTGGGCAACCTATCGCCTTGCAACGAGTACTGCAGCGTGGTTCCCGAATGACTGGTAAGAACGTCGACCTGCCCTGATGGATTGTGAACTGGACCAGTGCCGATCGGTTCACTCTCTTCCCTAAAATCATAATTAAGTTAAGCTTTAAGAATACTTGTAAATAGTAATTGTGACCTATTTCATGAACTAAGTATATCAATACAATGCACAAGTTGTTTAGTAAAGCCGTATCTTTTAATAATACAGCGTAACTATTAAGCCATAAATAACTATTATAACTTAGAAAAATGACATTTTTAAATTACTTACTTAACAACTCTGTATCCGTTTTCGTCAGCAACATAATGGACAGTCCTTTTAAAATATCCATCTGAATAGGAGTAGAGTCCTGTGAGCTTAAGTCCATCTCTGGTCTCTTGTCGAACTTGGGAATTATCGTTGATGCCATCGGCTACGGAGGACTGAAAAGAGTATTTGGCGCTTTCAGCCTGTTTTTTGAAAAGTTCGTCTTGTGAAGTTAGCACTGGGGCAGGAGGATTGTCGCGTACGGCATGGTCGACAGGGGATTCGAAGTTCTGCCTGATCCTCTGGGGCCGTCTTCTACGAGGTTGTTCATCAGCAGTCTTGAATGTATCTACCTGTTGGTTCTGCACGAAAGTCTGCTGAGTCGGCCTGAGCTGACCAAAGGATTGAGACTCAGGAGTCTGCACGAATGACGGCGATACCTGCTGAGCCGAAGGTTGTATTCTTTGGAAAATCTGAGTGTGTTCCGTTTGAGGAGGAAGGAAAGTCTCTACTCTTTGACTAGGCGTAGGCTGGTGGTTAAACGTTTGCGAGGGTACGTTTTGGAAAAATTGAGCTGGTTCGTTTTTCGGTGTGTCCAATTGCATGAAGGGCGGTGGTGGAGGAGGAAGAAAGTGTGCCGGTTCGTTGATCGGCTGGGAAGGCCTGAACGGCTCAGAGTTTCGGGTTGGTACGTTCAAGCCAAAATTTTGCTGAGGTTGGTTTTGAGTACTGAATACCTTTTGGCCGAAAGCTTCTTCTCTAGGTAGCTGTTGAAAAACCATTTCTGCAGGGTGGACCTCCCCGTTAAACCTCTGCTGATTCGCTTTAGCGATCGATTTTCTAAAATCATCCTGAGCTTTGACAAAAAGTCTTTGCTCCTCCGTCAGCTGAGGGCTGGTCCGACTGGGAGGCGTATATTGGCTATTTGTTATAACAAATCCTTTTTGGTTGTTAGGCAGGTCGGTCAACTCTCTGTACGTGACTTCTGGTTGGCTAGGTCCATTTGAAAACAAAGAAGGGAATCCGAAAAGCGACCTTCCAGTCTCCTGGCACAGCACTTGGTAGCCTAAACTTGCAATCTACAAAAATCAATGAAAAGTTACAAAATGCATACACCATAGGAAAACAAGTTTAAACCTAGGAATGAAATAACTCTTGGTGAAAGTTTTTATAAATAGCCCTAGTCCATTCTAGTTAATATATGACCCAAAACTTCTTACACTTAATCGAAAGGTTCTTAAATTATATAAATATGCTAAGCACCGTTTACTTTCTCTTGCTAAAAGGAATTTAATTGTCTTCTGATTAATACAACGGTTGTAAGATCAATATAGATGTATGTACATGTATCCATGCTCATTTCTGCACATATACTCTGCCTCCATTATACTTATTAACCTTAGTGAAATTTAATGAAAATTTTAATATCAAGTAAAGCTTTGTCTATAAGCTCTTAGTATTTAAATAAAGAGTTCTACTGTTATCAGCTTCAGAAGTTATGAAGTTAATTTTTTACTAACAATCAAAAAATCGTTGTTTTTTTTAAATAGGTATTAAAAATTTTGATTATTATGAAAAATTAATCTTGAAATAAATCGATACGTGTCAATACCTAAATAAAGTATATACGAGAAAAGAAAACTCACAGTCAGAAGGAAAATGTACGGCTTCATGGTGAAAACTGACCATTGTCCGCCGTCCTAGACAAAATTTAAGCTTTTCTCGTTCAATTGGTAGGGGAAGGAATGTCCCAATGGATTTTCGACCCACTAAGTGCTTTTCACTATTAACATGTAAACAATTTCGAAATGCCACTTTCTTCCTTTGGTTCATCTGGTGGAAAAACGTAAGAAAAATTGAAATTAAGTAAGGAGTTGAACACAATATTAATAGGTAACGAATCCATAATAATTTGGTAGCTTGCACTTCATTTTTGAAAGTATCCCAGTGACTGAAATCAATTTTTTGAATCAAGTATGGATCTCAATTTAGTGATTGGTCACTTTTCGCAGCAGACACGATAGACTACTCAAAAACATAAAACCTTTTGGAAAAAAAATCGATGTTCAAGATTTTCATTACACATTGGCGATTTCGAATAAAGTACAAGAACGGTCTTTCACAATATTTTAGAACCAGAATAAGTTGCTGACCAGTATTTTCAGCTATGTTCAATCTACCGAAGCAACCTTAGCTTTCTATATTTTTATAATTTTACTTTCTAGATCAAAATCATAAAAAAAACTGCTTGTCATAATAATATTTATATGTTGTTAAACAGTAGTTTGGCACATTGAAATTATATTATTCCAGTCAGAGAAATCTCGTTGAACAGTGTGATTTATTCTTTAGGTTTAGTTGTCACGAACGTATGACCTGGTTAGGAGAGTTTGATACCACTTTTACAAATTGGGTCATCTAATGTATACCGATTTCATGGCAGGTGATAGTTTTGATACTAAGGATAGTATTACTAATCCATAGCGCTTTGTTGAACCCTGAGATGACAAAGCGCAATAAAGGTGAAGTGTACTGCCGAAAAAATTAGATATCCTTAGTATTACTCCTGAGAGGGTTATACAGATATTCATTAGTGTACCATTACGGTAACAGATCATATAGCAAGTTAGCCCAAGATACAATTATTTTATGCTTGTGGAATCTATTGTACACTGCGTGTAAAGGCTCATGTGGATTAATGATGGAAACTACGCAAACTAAAAACAAGGAATCGGGTGTTTTGGTTTTGACCTTTGTCTTGCGTGTTCAGGTTTAATGAAGATACACACATATATTATACATACACATGTGTGTGTCTTAGGTAGTATCGGGGTATGTTGCACTCGACAATCCCAGTTATTTTAAAGTTATAGTAAAACAAAAATATTTGATCTGCATGATCATGATTATATCAACATGGTACACAAATAATTCCTATCTAAGAGCTTTCTTGGTTCTCTATTCAGTGTACATTGAGTACTATTATGACGATATTTTAATCCACACATATGCAGACGACAACCAACCCAGCCCTTCAGAAACCTCCCGTCTCTATTCTTTGGAAGAAAAGTTCAAGAAATCGGGGATTAAAATTAACGAAACCAAATCCCAGGAAAAATATTTATTTTCCACCGTATTTCTTCCAATTTACTACATCTCTGTTCCTTTTTAGGCAGTTTTATTTGCTCACCGATGTCCGATGTTTCACTTAAAAATACACCTTGCTTTGTCACCGTCAGATGTTTCAAGACTTTTTAGAAAACAGACAATAAGCAATAAGGATATTTTATTAGTTTTGAAGAATGGTATATATCATAGTAAACATAGCACAGGTAATAGACTTTGGGATTTTTCAATTTGGCTTTTTTTTGGAATTTTTTTACTCTTTTGACGGGACTGATACAATCCAAGTTTCAGTGAAAATATTGATTTTTGTACAAATCGGAGGATGGTCAGTCTATTGCAGGAATGTAGAGTGCGAACGTTACTGATGTGAAATGAACATGGACTAAGCTGTTTTCATAATGCGTTTTGTTTTTACCAAAATGAAACTCAGAAGCATTGATGCCAAGCCTTTCTTTTCTTTTTTGACTTTGTTGGCCAGTTATTAGTTTTATGGTAGGTTTGTTGAAGTTCGATTTGAATAATGAGAGTCTTTCTTTTTTTTTCTTATCACTTTTAGACGATGTTTTTATTTTTACGCATTATAATGTAATCTGCGGATTTAAGTGACTACATTATGACTATGTGTGCACGTTTGTATATATAAATTATCCTCCTTTCTTGCTTATCTGTATCCTAACAAGATTTTTTTAATATAAAAAATGGGTTGAAACATTTAAAAAAAATGGCTGGATATAGAAAAATATAAATTATATATTTGGTTTATAAAGTTTATATTGAACGTCTGCTTCAGCGGGTTTTTTCTTGTTCCCTTTTGAATAAAGCGTCTTGTTCGTGAAGCTCAGCTTCTTCAGGGGAATCCTCTCCTCCCTGAAAGATAAAAATAAACACAAGTTAAAATAAATTCAAACAAGAAAATAAATTTAAACATGAGTCATAAAAGAGGGATACATTTGCGCAATGTGGAATGTAAAGATAAGGCAAAAAGTTTATTCTGGTAAAATATCCCTGAGGTTTTTTTACCTTAATAAAACATTCTAGTTATTATCACTGTTCTTAATTTTTCAACTTACTTAATAACCCTGTACCCCTGGTGGTCTGCGGTGTAGACCACTTTGACCCAGACGTGTCCATCGGAGTACTCGTACTTTCCTTGAACCTGAGATCCCCTTTTTACCTCGGCCCTCGACTGGCTGAAACCTCTCGATGGGTCCGATACTTCGGATTTGAACCAGTAGCTCAACTGGAACGATCGAATCAATCAATCATCATAACGGTCTAATGATCGTGACATGTGATACCTCTCCATCGTGGGCTTTTGGGATTTTTCCTCCTCGAACGGTTCCACGTGGGAATTTATGTGACGCTTCCAAAGTTTCTCTCCAGAATAGCGCCACCAGAAAAAATACTTTCCACTGAAAAATGCCAATTAAAAAAAATTAATTAATCCCTTGATTGTGTGTTAATTTTCACAAATAAACGTATTTATAATGTCATTTATGACTTCGCTTTGTTCCAAATCTTTTTTTTTTTTGCAATTTCACAAGGTGATTAAATAAAAAATTATTCTAAAAATGTTATTTATTCAAATAATACTAAACTTAGCCAACAATAATTAATAGTTTTCAACCTGTTTACAGAGATTAATAATTACTGTTATCTATTTATATAGAAATAATAATCTATTATTGAATTAAGTTGCCTTTTCAAAATTCGGTCGACATTCTCGTATTCTCGTCAATTAATTAATGTGTTGTCTTACAACACTATTTTTTTCTCCTAGTCCCATTTAAAATTAATAATCTTACATAAATAACATCGTTTAGACGAAAATAAAACTATCGTGTTTATTGTATCCGCTCGAAAGTTAAAATTACAATATACAACTAACATAACTCAAACAAGAACATCATTAAAAAAAAAAAAATAGCCGAACGTCGTGGGTTCGAATCCCGGTCGTGACACTGTCTTTTTCATTTCAGCCAATACCTTACATAAAGCCTAAGGATTAATTAATTGAAATAAGTTATTTGGTCAATCCGTTCACGAAGTATAATGGAATTATTAAAAACATTGATTATATTTTAGATTATAAATGCCAGCTCAACTGTTTGTCTTTAATCACATTTTTAAAGTAATTCATTTAAATTTATTTGATTGTTGTAAACAAAAACAGATTGAATTGAGCGCTCAATTTAAAGGTTAATCCAGAAATACTTCTTATTTACCCCTTTGGGTATAAAATTAATATTAATATTTCATTCAACAATTTTTTAGTCGATTATGTACTCTAAGAGGCTTTGAGTTAAATTATTATTAAATTTTCAACGAAAAAATCAAAAAATGATACATCAAAAACATATAGGTAAAAATCCATCAAGACCTTTTTTTAATGATCTTATCTAAGATATTCGACCAAAGAGATTATTTTGGAGAGTTTCTTTTCTTAATTTTCAATTACCATAAGACAATAGATAAATAACAGTAAAAAAATAACAATTAACAGATAAATCATTAAGAACTCAGCAATAGCAGGTATTGATAATAATTCGCAAACATGTGCAAATAAGAATAAATGAATATAACGATACATAACAATATAAAATGGGAGCAAACAACCATTCATTTACTATTAAATACCGAATAAATAAATACACAACCACAATGTTACCAATTCGAGGGAAAATACAGGACATGCACCTTACACCATTCAAATGTTTATGTTGCAGACCTTGGCTAATTCGAAATATATAATAACCATCATACGCTTCAGTCTGCCTCAACCTGAAAAGTTTCAACCCAAATTGAAAAGTTTCCCGATATCAAGTCCATATAGATTTTATAAACCTCTGTCTTTGTGCTGTATTTTTTCACAGGAGAATGACAAAATATTTGATAGTTACGTATCATCTTGGCGGGTTCTGGCGGTTGCTGATTTTTATTGGTTCAGACGCGTTTCTGTATTTCGCCATCATAAGCGTTTGGTGATTTCTGTGAAAAAACGCGTCTCTATCAATAAAAAGCAGCGAGAATAGGCAGACCTAGATGATAATTATCAAATAATAGGTTTATCCCTGACCAAAAGAGAAATCTCATATAATGACAAATGCACAAGATTCTCCCCTACTCCCCATCTTTCACAATAAAGGGCACATATCAGTCAAATATTATGCAAATAGGATCCGCAGATACCATGACGGTTCATAAGCGAGAGATCGTTCAAAAAAATGCTCTTTCCCTTATTCCACCTGGAAAAACCATGTTTTTTCGAATTCTGGAAATATAATACAATAATATTTCTCTATTGTAACTTCATCATATATTATTCATATATATTTATTTACTAGTTTTTTCTTTTTCTATTAGTATAAAAATTGAAAGCTTTGACTAAAATGTAATCACAACTGCTCTATGATAAAAACATTAAAACAACGGTTCATTGACTCTCATCAACCCTGGACTAGGTCGTCTGACAATTTTATATCTATAAGATAGGAAAGGGCTCACCTTGAATAAAATCTATCTAACAACTAGTTTTATTGTCGGCCTTGAATTATGTTGAGAATATGCTTTTTTTTAATGTCTTTGATATATTATCTTTTAAGGGAAAAAGTTAGTTATTTACGACGTATTTTATATACTTTAAGAACCACCTTATTTAACATTGTAGGCAATAAATAAATACCTTGTACATTATACCTTATTATCGTTAATATCCTGAAAAATTACGCAAATTAATTTTAAAAGATTATTCAAATATATACATATATATAACATAAATATATTATCATTATATAAATGCATTAATTAAATACAAAATGTTGTGATTTTTTGACAGAGAAAGCAATAAATAAGGAATATAAATATTTATTTTTAGAGTACAAACAGGGGTTCACGACCGATAAGTAACATTTATTTGTTCCTTTAAAAAAACCCTCAATGATAAAGCTAGGATTACATATTGTCTAATAAGGTAATTGATTTGTTCTTATTTATTAGTTGACGGATAATTTATTCGATCTGTTTTTATTAACTGAATTTAAAAATAAAGTAAACCATACAAGTAGATTGCCAACTGAAACAAAAATAGACAAGAATCAGTCTTTTATATTTTTGTTTGGGAATATTTTTCATATGGAATTTACAAATTAGAAGATTATTAATTACAAAGGAACATTGATATGACAAGAATTTTAGAAAAATGATCCATATAGGACACATCCGGCTTGTTTTGACTAATTTATGTGTTGTTGTTGACAGTCTTGGAAATTTCACATTTTCAGATAATGTCTGTACGCTCTTGTGATCATTAATTCGTTCGATAATGATTGTTTTAGTTTTTATGAGATTTTTTGTGTGCTCTGCGGCGTTATGAACTGCAATTTGATGGTTTGATCTGCCAGGCGCGCTGAAGCATTTCGGCATCTTCGGGGTTGGGTCTGATTATAAGTGATTTTTGTCAGAGTTGAAAAAATTGTGATAATTTGTAAATTGGCTTCTGTACGTATTTTTTTTTTTTTTTTGAGTGATTAGAAATACTTTGATTGAATATAAAAAAATATATTTTGCATTGTATAAATTCATTTTTTTCCACATCCTACATGTATTTGTTAAATGTAAACAATGTTTGTAAATCCCAGGCCCTGAAGATGATCTCAATAAAGATCGAAACGATAAAAATGTTTTTCTGAAACCTAAATCACACCAGACCGCATCTCACGATTTCTGAATAATTATAAAATTTGTTGTTTTTGTGTATTTTCTTTTGAGTCGTTTCAATACTTTCTAAACTGTATTGCCATACGTTTGTGGGGCTACAGGGTTTGTAGTTTGTTGGTTTTATTATCAATAGCTTATTGACTTCTTATTTGTATTGGATTTTCATTTTGCCCAGTGAATTTATCGCTTGTATTATCTGTAGAAACTTACATAACGAAACAATCAATAATATTATTTGATTCTCTGAGTTGTCTATTATTTTCACACTCTCTCTTTCTCTCTCTCTCTCTTTCTGTTATTTTTCATCTTTTCCTTTCTTTCTTGCGCCTCTGATTATCATACTTTCTCTCTCTCTCTCTCTCTCTCTCTCTCTCTCTCTCTCTCTCTCTCTCTCTCTTTCTCTCCTTTCTCTCTCTATTTGTCTCTTTTTCTCTCTCTTCCTCTCTCTCTCTCTCTCTCTCTCTCTCTCTCTCTCTCTCTCCCTCTCTCCCTCCCTCCCTCCCTCCCTCTCTCTCTCTCTTTCTATTCTCTCTTTCTTCCTCTCTCTCTCTTTTCTTTCACTTTCTCTTTGTCTCTCTCACCCTCTCGCTGCCTATGTATTCTCTCTTATTCTCCCTATATACTCTCCCTGTACTTACTCACTCAGTTCTCCCTTTCCCTTTCGCCTTCTGCCCCTATTCATTTCTGCGCGTTTTTTGTATGTGTTTTTATTTTCTAATTTTCTGCTTGTTCTTCTACTCATATTTTTTTAAATTCTCCTTTACCATCTATCTCTTTCTCTCCTCCTCATATATAAATAAATATTATAATTGTAATTACACGTTTAGTGTAAGAAAGGTCTTAGAGACCTAACATTTGCGTGTATTTTAATATATCCATCGTTATTAATCAACCCTTCTTCTCTCCCTCCATCACACACTCTTTCAATCTCTCTCTCTATATATATATATATTTTTTTTTACATATGTGTGTGTATCCATTTATCTATCTATCTATTTATCTATGTATCTATTTTTTTATCTTACTCTACATATATGCCCAGAAAAGTACACACAATATCTAGATATCTCTACTTATTAGATTATTTTCTACAATTGTTATCAATAAAAAGAACCCAACTATCAGGTGCAAAGGAGTACAAAATAAAATAAAAGGAAACCCTTCATCTCAACGCACAAAATCATTTTTCCAGAATTGTATGAGATAGTATGATGTCAGGTAATTCACATAGTACAAAATCTTTATAAATTATTTTAACTTGGCTGTCACTATAACAATACTGTTTGTCAATTGATTCAATAACGGGGCTTCAAAACACGTTCTCCGTTATAAAATTTCGAAATACGTTCTGAAACAATTGGGGCCATTTTCCTAATTAGAAGTCGTGATTCAATGCGGATTTAACTGACTAATTAAGAGGTTAAATAAAATAACGGTGTACCAGAGATAAAACCGAAATGATTGTGAATTATGAAATCTATTTCCATCTTGTTTACAACCAGTTTTATATTTACACGGAGTGATGCAACGTTATAGAACAAATGGTATATTCTGATAAGATAATTTTTTTAATGAAAAAGATTTTGATGCTATTTAATTTAAATTTAAAAAAATTAATAATGGGAAATGTGACTGTTTTCTGACGTTCAAATATTGCAGTCTTACTTGACCTCGAACACCCAACCTAGCAATACGG